CATTGGATTAAAACACTGCAGTAGTTTAAATTTACAAGGTATTAGACAGAATCACTTTGTAAGTTACCTTCTTGTCCCTCTGCTTCATGCCTTTGGTCTTCTGCTCTAAAGACAAGCCCAGAGTCTCTGCTCTGTCCCTCAGCTTTGTCTCCAAGGTCTCCAAAGCATTTCCCCCTTCTTTCTTGCTGCCCCTCTCTTTCCTCCTCTTCAACAGATACAGGCTGATGAAAGAGGGAACAAAGGGATCAACAGTGGGCACGATGAGATGCATGGAAGGAGAAAGACAGTGAAAAAACAAAAGTCTTATTCAGTAGCATGAAGACAAAGGCACACACACAAGGCAAATGCTCTCTATTTCTCTAATGACTCATACAGATCATATTCTGTGGTATACATTCAATATTTTTTACTCATTGTGCAATTTAAACTTTCTTAACCAGGCAGCTAAATCTGATCACTAGTATAGAAAATGTCTCTGTATGGTGAATATGTGGTGGTTAGTACTCACAGGACAGCAGCAAACACATTGTCCCCCATCTGTGTGATAGTGCAGCCTTTCTTGGCTTCATTTTCTCCAACAAACACAGGAAGGGAGTCCGGAGTGTCTCTGGTGGATTTGGGGAACAATAAAATTACATAAATCAGAACTAATAATTCTTATGCAGATAGTTACCGCTGCTTCTATAGCATCAGCCCCTCCCTAGCTAGATGCAAGCTGCAGATATTTTATTTCTTCACCTAGAGAGAAAAAAAGGTTCAAGCATTATTTCACAGACCAAGCTGTGTGTTCTCTACCTGTAGTAGCCAATATGATGCTGACTGTCTTCACTCCCCCGAAGGATGGTCTGAAACTCTGGTGGGTCGTATAAATACCTCCAGTGAAGGTGGAAGTTAGGCTGAGGGTTCTTGGAGTTTTTATGGGCTCCTGCCAGGATGTCAAAGGGACCAACCAGCTGCAAACCCAGAGTGTCTTTCAGCGCACCTGTATAGATTAGGATAAATAAAAATAATATACTGATACAGAGGTCGATTGACATACAGACATCAAAGTGCTTCAGTGCATTTGCTGCAAACTAGGCTTTAATGGAGAGTTTTGATGTTTACATTGATATAGCTTGAATTTATATATGCTATTATTTGTTCTAGGTTTTAGTGGAAAAAGAAAATAGAATGAACAAAACCGAAGAAAATGCAAAGAAATGTTCAAGAAACCAAATTATTCAAGTAGCGTCCCATTACCTTGGTATGGACTTGAACAACACAACTTATCCAGTTAAATATGTGAACAGGAAATAAGTCATATGGGAGAAAGACAGAGAATATCCAGCACATGCCTGAGACGTGGAAATTATTGTTGGATCAAAATAATCTCTGCAAATTAAAGGTTTCTGGTTTCTGTATGTCACATGTTAAGATTTCAATCTTTCATTAATACTCTTGGACTGTCTGACTATGGGTCACACAAAATCAACACTTTTCAGATGTCTCTTTGGGACGTGCAAATTGTAATGAGGGATTGCTGAAATGTTCTGACTCTTAATAGATTAAATGATTAAAGACTATTAGTAGCTGTCCTCTTATTTAGACTATTATGGAAAGGCAGCACTTATACCCAATGCTTATCCATGAAAAACTGGCAAATATAAAGGCATCATCGAACAAAGACACTTGTGTCAACAGGTATTGGGCTGGTTCTGTGTATGTTTTATAAGGAGTCTCATGGTTCATCCTGTTTTCTCAACGCCTACAGACAAAAAATTGATTAAATGTCAGATGCACCTTCTATCCTATCAGCATTCACATAACGAGATACACTGTTGGTGTGAAGAGCATACCACGGGGACTGTCAGGACAAAGCTCCTTGCAGAAGTCCCAGAAGTGGTACAGATCTTCTGGCATTTGAAGCTTGTACAGTTGTGCCACCTCTTCTCTTTGCTCTGAATCCACCTCTGACAGCGGCATGGCTATGGATTCATCAATACGGGCTTTCTTCAACTCCCCATTGCCTGTAGCTGACTCCTAAAGAAATGTATTGAAGAAAAAAACAACTGAGTTGCCAGTTTTATTTGGTATACTAGACTACAATGAATGTTTTTTAATACAACAGCCTAACAATAAACTGCATTGGGTTACTGTTATTGGGTATAGGTAGGTCTTTCTAAAAGTCTGTCCTCCAACCCATTTACATCAATGAGAATAGTTTAAACATCAGAAACACATTTTATTAGGAAGATAACAGGACTTAAGCCAACACAATTAGACAAGGATCACAGGGGACTCATATACCCTGTTGTTTTTTTAACCCCAATAATGTCCCATTGTACTAGTCACACTGCAATAAATGAATGTTGCCAATTAAATCAGATATAGACACATGGGAAGAACTGCCTCATTACATATATGGTGAGCTTAAAAACAATTGAATTTTACCCATATCGTTTTTCTCATTTCACTCCTTGCCAATTTCTGTACCTGGATCCATATTTAAAATGTCAGACAAGCTTAAAAGTGAATACATGTGACACAAAAAAAATATCCAATGATAAAATTTAGAAGGCTAATATGATCTCAAAACAGAGGAGGACTCAGTCTACATAACTAAAGCAACTATTATTGGACAGCTCACCTGAGGGGCTTGGTGACTTTAAGATGCTGAGACAAGATAGACAGATTGAGCAAAATTCAATATCCAAAGGTCATCTCTCAACAGTACTATTCCTGAGTAAAGCTCAATGGAAACATTTAGGATTAAGAATAAATGAATATGACTAACACAGATTTCCCTCCAGCTGTACAGGATAATGATTTTAAAAGATGGGCAGACGCAGGACTGGTATTGATTAACAGATGCTAATGTGCTAAGATCAACCAAATAAACCCCTCATAGGTCTGATATATACCTATGAAGGATTTGTCATTCCTTACCTTTTATATTCCGTTTTAATTAGATAGACAGATGCAAAGATGCACCTTACTGATCCTAAATTGGGACATTTTAAAGTATGTGTGTGTATCTATGCATCTGAACTGCGATACTGAACTTCCATTTGTGTGTGTGTGTGTGTGTGTGTGTGTGTGTGTGTGTGTGAACATCTTACACAACAACAGTTTCTGTTGGGGTAGGAGCATTAACGATACCCTTACAGGGTTCACACCTGAATACATTTACTTTTCCCCTCCATTATTCTGATGATGATTTAGGACATGTTAGTGTTGATAACTGAGCATGTGACTGTTTTAATTAACAAATCTATACGTTTTGTAAAAACAAAAGAAGAAAATAAACACCTTTCAGTGTCGCACAATCAAAGTCAACAGCATCATAAACTAAAACTAATAAAATGACCATCAAGACGAATCGACTCATTCTTACGTTAGTTGTAACAAAAATTATCCCTCATAAAGACATTTCTTATTATAGGCTTCTTGTGATCGTATTGCTTAATGCATACGCCCACACTCGCACTTATAGTGGAGTTGTGTTCAAAGCTTTGCACCTAACGTCAATACCCGTCAGAGGAATGTTAAAGGGACCGAGAACGTCTCATTTTGAGATCCTCTTATACAAGGTGAGGATCGTAATCTGAGAGCTGCGCGAAAGCTTTGCTAATCAATGTTAGCACTGAGGACACTGATTTATGGCCTTTGTTAGATCAAACCTCGAATCAAATCAACACGCACGTTTTTTTCTACACCAGACTTGCCTACAAATGTTAGCCACCTAGCTAAATACTGCTAGTGTCCGTATCTCAGCGCTGCTGACTTGTGAAATACAACCAACGTCGAAACACTATATTATAACGTTAAATGGCTGTTTAACTTAGCTAATTGTGAACATCACCGAATATCGGCTCTGCGGTAACGTTACCAGGCAGCAGTTCTGCTGCCATGTTGTCGTCTGACCGCTGCTGCTCACACAGCGTGCCCAACAGTTCTGCCCATAGCGTTAGACTGAAGTTGCTTAGACGCCATTATAAACACACGCTGCACATCTTCTTGACTGGTAAAAACACCTTGCAAGCGGACGTTTCCTCATCCCAACAGAGAGGCTCAAAACAATATAATATTACCTGAATGGATTTGGGTTTTCTTTTTGCGCGCCCTGTCATTTTCTTCCTCTTGTCTCTCCGTCGCCTTCTTCTTCTGCGGGTCTGAATCGGCAGCAACTGCGCCGCGTTAAAGTGCATCACTGCCCCCCAGAGGCTGAGCCTGCTCACTGCAGAATCCCTAATGTAACAGACGTTTTTACTGAGCTGACCTGTACACACTGATACTGAACGGGCACACCACACACAGCCCCCCCCCCCATTCAAATAACCTAAATTACCTCAAAGGGACAAAAACAACTGTTAAGAGACACAAAACCACAAATAAAATGTATAAAGACTACAAAGAGATGCAAGATCACCACAGAGTCTGTGTATTCTTGCTCTCAAGTGGTAGAGGTGGTGGTTCCTTTCGCATATCTGTACCAAGGGGCCCATTGTTTCATAATCTGCTCATAATCATATTGTGTGTTTTCATCTTCATCCTGTAATATAGATCCATACATTTAAAACTAGATACATATATTAGCTGCATTTTCTCCCATTATCTAAGTAAAAAAAGGATGTTCCAAAAAAGGAAACAGCCATGATGACGTGTGCAAACAAATCAGTGTGAATTTGAGATAATGCTTTGGGGTTTTCCGACACAAAGACCATATTTATTTGTTATATATTTTTTTAAATTTAAATGATGTGTTAAAAATTAATCAACTAATTCATGTCAGCACAAGCATCAAAAGTAGTATGCCAAGAAATTCATATTAAAATCCATAAATGTATAAGGACTTTATAAACAACACTGTTCCTTTTGGGTGACAAAAACACCTTGCAGGATCACATGCTATGAAGTAAATGTGTGATCAAACTGAATCATACTGTGCAGCCATCCATAGTTTTAATGTCTACTAGGGCTAAAAAGCTATACACACAAGGTTTGCAACTATGCATTACATGACAATGTTCTGCATCGACACATTAGTGCAACTATACAATGGAAAATATTATTTTCACAGTTTCTGTAGCTTCAGTTCTTTAAATACAATGAAACAGATCAATGTTACTTATGAGACTTGGGACTACTGATAGGTTTGACATTGGCCTTGCTGCAGGATATGCTCTTTGCCAGGTGTCTGGGACATAATGACAACATTGCTTGCATTCGTCAAGATTGTTGTATGTCTCTTCAACATATTTCGTAATCAAAGTTCTGATGTGTGGGCACTCTGATCATTTTTAGACAAGATGTGTCCAAGAGAGGATGGAGAACAAACTGGTGCAGGTGGGAAAAATTCCTTTCGTCCTCTGTCCAGTTCTTTATTCCTCTGACGGCTTCTCATCCTCATTGCTTTGGTGCATTTCCACGGTTACACAACAACAATTTTCACAGCCTTCTTCCTCTGCTTTCTTAGCTAGATGCATCCAGTTTTCTCTGTTCTTCTTACAACCATTCAGCAGCGGGGTGCAAGTGTCAAACAGTCTCGATACAGCCTGAAGGAGACAGACACAGAGAGTGTGATGATTGGAGTGAAAGAGAAGTGCAAATTAGATGATAAGATAATAGAACATCATTGAGGACAATGTTGTGGTTTTCACATGCACACATTTGTACTGCAGAGTATTAGATATAGGGAAAAATGATAGGAGGAAGATTTTCTTCATTTTGCACTTTGGAAATAAAGTCAAGATGTCAAGAACTACCGATACCCTTGCATCTGTCCATTACCAGCTATTTCATTTTGCACGAATGTGGTCACTTCATCCAAGTTTGTGTGTTTCTCCTTCTGAACGATGCCATTGTCCATACAATCCCTTGAAAGTCCTGATACTTATTACCACACTGTGTTTATGTGTTAAGAGAAAAATAATTTCCTTGTTGCTAAAACTAAATTCTGAACTACAATTTCACCAAAACATTTATACAAGGCATTTTGTAGCCGTATCACTTCATTATTTTTTCTTATTAGACATTTGTGTTAAGTTTTGTCTTAATTACCATATAAATTCTTGAGTTATGGCCAAAAACACATTTTGTGAGGTCACACTGACCTTGAACTTTGACCTTCAACCGCAAAATTCTAAATCTAAGTGGATGTTTGTGTCAAATTTAAATAAATTCCCTTAAAGTGTTCTTGAGATATGGTGTTCACAAGAATGAGACAGATGCAAGGTCACACTGACCTTGAGCTTGACCTTTGACCAATCAGTTCATCATTGAGTCAAAGTGAATGTTTGTGCCAAATTTGAAGAAATTCCCTCAAGATGTCACATTCACAAGAATTAGACACACAAGGTCACAGTGGCCTTGACTTTTGACCTATGACCAACAAAAACTAATCAGTTCATCGTTGAGTCCAAGCAGATGTTTTGTGCCAAATTTAGAGAAATTTCCTTAAGGCGTTCTTGAGATATCGTGTTCCCAAGGATGGGACATACGTATGGACGGACAACCTGAAAACATAATGCCTCTGGCCACGGCTATTGCCTACATGGAGGCATAAAAAAATCCGCCTCCTCATTTTTCCCCTTATGCCTGGCCCTTACACACTTCCATACATATGCATGCATGTACCACATGTATATATCCACACACATGCAGAAATAACATACCTTGTACAGTGGATAGCAGATGTCATTGATGTATTCAACTTGCATGTTTGGCAGTCGAGTGCTGTTTTCTCTGTTCATTATGTCCTGGTGAGAAGAGAGCGTAAAACTTGCTGTTAGGACGTCCAGAACAACTGTAGTCGATCTAGTCAAACATATTATTATTTTGGGGCTGATATATTACACAAGAAATCACCAATGATTCTAGCCTGGTTCCAGACCATAGACCCCGCCCACTCAACTGAGTAGGCTTGCATTACTGGTCTGGCATACTTCAATGAATTTGTGATTTATCTCGTCCAAACGATGGACGGACCAATGAACGCCGGGGGTCTAGCGATTAGACAATCAGCGCCACCCTGATGTCAAGCTGTACGCTGGTGGGTAACTGGTGAGGATAGCAACAATGGCGACCGCTACAGATCCTACAGACCACATTAACGATGCTATCGAGGTATTTCGCCACTACTCACGTTAATGGAGGACCAAATTAAGGAAGCTGCTAAACTGGATTTAACGGCGATGCAGCTGGGCGTGCACGACGACGGAGACATTTTAAACGGGCAATGCTTGCTTGTTTTCGGCACCCCCGAGGCACGGATACTAATGACGTCAGATTCTGGGTGAGTCGTTGATCTCTACTGATTGGTTAGGGAAAAAATCAAATTCCCTCCCCCTTGTAAATCGCCTTCAATGGAAGCCATGTCAGACTGAAGGTTCTGGGAGCTTCAGTCTGACACTCAGGCTACAATGATTCCACTGTGACTAAAGTAAACCATCACCTGAGACTTTGCCTTTTGGAAGATACACAAGACAATGCATTTGAATGGCAAAAAGAAAATTATGTGTATTTCCTCTAAACTGTTATCTAGGTTTGACATTGACTGGGTAAGTGTGATGCTTTTCAAAAGCAACCTTAAAGGAATATTTCAGCAACAAAATTTGTATATCAGATACTCACTGTATATTACTTTGAATTAATGAAGAAATCGTTGGTTTTCTCACATGCCTCGACGGTGAACGGAGGATCCAAAAAAGGCGAACATTCTTTATGTATTGAAATAATAAGGGTTCACATTTAACAATAGCAAAACTATATCAAAATATCTGTTTACAAACTCTGACACAATTCATGCAGTATAATTGAAGTCTTATTTATCCTTCTTATGCTTTATACTCGGTACATCCCAAACACATGCATTTTCACGAAAACCGTCACAATATAAAACACTTCAACCTACGCATAGCGCGCCCTGAGCATGCCTGAGCATGCTACATGTCGGGCGTGAGACTGTTTGTACTGATGTGTTTTAAATCAGAATATTTTATCCAAAATGCATATGTTTGGGAAGTACTGGTAACAAATGGATAAGAGACTTGATTACATTGCACAAGTTGGGTGAGAGTTTGTAAATGGATGTTTTGATATGGGTTTGCTGTTGTTAAATGTGGTCCCCATTTACTTCAATTCATGAAGAGTGTTTGCCTTTTTTGTATTCTCTGTTCTACGAGGAGGCATGCTAGAAAACCTTTTTTTTTCCACAAATGAAAGATAATACGCAGTGAGTAATTAATATGCAAATGGTCAATTTGCGAGTGAAGTATTCCTTTAAGTTATATAAGTTCAACAATGAGAATTGAACAGACACGAAAACATGCCTGAAGGACTTTTCATCATGAAGAAAAAAGGCTGCATCAGGAGGTAAAATAACATTTTTGGGATGAACATGCCTCTTATTTTACCAACAGAGGACTGTGTAGAACAAATGTGATATTTATGGTATAACGCATTTTTTAAAAATTGATTTAGGCTTTATGAGTATATTTTCTTTCTCCTTTGATAACCATTGGTACAGCATTAAAATCTAATAAGACAAAATCATGTTAGCAAGACTTACAATGGGTTGGATTTTGAACTCTTCTTTCTCTTTATCCCCCTGTGCAAAGAACTCCATGGCAACCAGGTTTGTAATCTGTTTTGGAGGAAGAGCGAGGTCAGGGTTGTGATGAACTCAAAATGACTGAGTGATAAAGTGGGAAGTATTGAAGTGGAAACTCTCTATGAGACCTACCCTTTTTTGTTCAGGCCAAGGCTTTGTGATAGCAGAGAGGTCACTAGCTGTCATCAACATCGACCTGTGGGGGAATAAATATCTTAAAGGAACAGCCCCTTGGCCCATTCCATCAAAGATATCATTATCATATATCCCTGATTCTCACCTCAGTAAATCTCTTTGTTTCTCACTCTTCCAGTTCACTCTGCTTTTCTTGGAGAGAGAATGGAATTCTTTTCTTCTCCTAAAAAGACGAGCACAAAAAGTGTATCAGGGGTGAAACAAGACGTTCACAGCAAAGCTTGACCTACATCTACTTTGACATTTTCTGTTTTAACATACTCCATGTAGACGGTCAGGTCAGTTGCGAGGATTGCCCTTTTGATCATGTGTAGTACAGCTTTGTAGTCCTCTGCAGAGAGGCCGCTGAGAATCTGACTCCCCTGAGAAAAGGATGAGAGAGACAGTGAAGTTAAGTGAAGACTTTGACTCAGTGACTACCAGACACAGTGTATGCAGAGACAGTTAGGCATGAACGTAATAACAGCCCACAAACGTAATAAACCACAAACGTAATACAAATCTGCAGCTTTGAATGTAATAATCCAACAAATGTAATAAATTTCCCACAAACGTAATAACAGCTGCCTACTACAAACATAACAAACAATTTTCCACAAATGTAATAACTATTACATTTGCAGGAAATTATTACATATGTGGGAAGGTGAAAATCTAAACTGTAATAACTTCCCACAAATGTAATATGAGACTGAATAATGATCTTTGTGGTTGTTGTTGTTTGTTTACTTATACACCTGCCAATAGTGATGCGTGTGTTGACAAGCAACCCACAGGTTGGGTGGGGCGGGTCAGAAAGTGACAGAGCAGCGTTCTGAGTAAGTCAGAAATAACTTACAGAAACACACACATACACACACACACACACACACACACTGGTCATTCCTTGTCAGTTCACAGAATTACTCTGTGGCAGCAAATATGTCGTTTAATTGGATTTATTTTATTTTCTTCTGCCTCTTATTAATACGGATTTAATGGGAAATTTATTACATTTGCGGGATTATTACATTCAAAGCTGCAGATTTGTATTATGTTTGTGGTTTATTACGTTTGNATGGTTTACAATAACTTAATCCTCCTCCACTCAAAAATGTGTTTTCTTCTTGTTCCTACAGATGAATGTTTGAGCCTCACTGTGCAGAATGATGTATGTGCAGAGCTTGACACTCGAAGGCTGTTTTCACATTTATCTGATGAAAATGCTCGTATGATTTTAAGGGCTAGGGCTACGAGCCTATGTTGGTGGCTTATGTAGCCTATGTTTGAACCATTTAATTAAAATATGTCTGCATATCAAAAGCCAAAAACTTGAATATGTCGTTAATTCTTTGGAAGGGCTGCAAGCATGATTTGTGACATCACAAATATTTTAGAAGCCAGTCATGGTCCAATGTTCAACTTACACAAGAGTGATGTGGAAACTTGAAGCCTCCAGTGCACATACACTGAGAATGGACTTAACAGTGAAACCTTTGGGATGAAAAATAAAATTGGCATATTGATAGATTCTAGCATTTTTAATGAGGGAGAAGGTGTAGATGTCATTTTAAGGATTTTAACAAGATAATTGAATTTTTTGTGGAAAAACTATATCATACATTATTATTCAAAGAGAAACATTTATATACATTAAAACATGTCTTGAAGAAATCTTTAATGATTAAATTATCATTAATATTCATCAAAAAAAGATAACTTAATTGTGATAATAATCACAATTATTTTAATCATTATTATTATTACTATTATTATTAGTTTTCTTTTAATTATTTCTTCCCCATATACACACATATACAAAATCACACATACAATAATATAACTCGAACACACGTACGCCCACAAACAGAGCAAGTTTTAACAGTACTATGCTACTCTTTTCTTGTTTTAATTCATGAAATTCATTAATTTTTGTTGAATTGATTCTTGATGCTTTGGCAATATTGTTGTTATGATATTTACACCAATAAAGCAAATTTGAATCTAATTGAATGAATAAACCACGAATAGGCTACTAAAAATCTGCAGCTTATACAAGTTGCTAACTAACGAGGTGCTGAACAGGTACTGTAGGCCAGATGCTGCAGAGAAATCCATATTAACAAGAGGCAGAAGAAAATAAAATAAATCCAATTAAATGACATATTTGCTGCCACAGAGTAATTCTGTGAACTGACAAGGAATGACCAGTGTGTGTGTGTGTGTGTGTGGGTGTGTGTGTGTGTGTGTGTGTGTGTGTTTCTGTAAGTTATTTCTGACTTACTCAGAATGCTGCTCTGTCACTTTCTGACCCGTCCCACCCGACCTGCGGATTGCTTGTCAACACACGCATCACTATTGACAGATGTACAAGTAAACAAACAAACAACAACAACCACAAAGATCATTATTCAGTCACATATGTAATAATTTCCTGCAAATGTAATAGTTATTACATTTGCGGAAAATTGTGTGTTACGTTTGTAGTAGGCAGCTGCTATTACGTTTGTGGGAAATTTATTACATTTGCGGGATTATTACATTCAAAGCTGCAGATTTGTATTACGTTTGTGGTTTATTATATTTGTAGGCTGTTATTACGTTTGCGGGTGTAACAACGACTGTCTGTTGAGAACAAAATTGGAACTACACTTTGACTCAGATAAAAAAGAATTAAGACCACTTAGATGGACATTTGGCAACATTTGAGGTCTTACAGTGTTGTTTAGGATGAAAAGGCACAGGTTGTAGTGGTGGTTTTCAAGAGAGGAGTGTCCATACAGCTGAGCTAAAGGCTGCTGACTCCTGAAAGAGACAGAAACATATACTGGCTATATAAGAAGGCAATGACCGAAAGCATAACCAGTATTATAATACTAGATATAGAGAAAACAAATAAAAAGAAAATCTTCTTCTTTGAGCAACTATAGAAAACTGACTAAACATGAGAGAAGGGGAAGTAGTGTTTACCTCTCTATGTACGAGTTACTGACGCCCCTGTGATCAAGGTCATGACTCAGAGTGGCAATCATCAGTGCTAAAATTTCCAGACGGGAAAAGATGGTCTGAAATACAAACAGAAATAGATGGACAGAGAGAGAGAGAAAGAGAAATAGCAAAGAAAGTTATTTACTTGTTTCTCTTCATGGAAGCATGTTTAATTGTGTACATTTTTGCAGTTTTCCCACTGGAATAGAGCAGTCAAGGAGGGCCGGCACACTTGCAAGTTATTTGTTTTGTGTATAACCTTAAGGATCTGGAATCAAGCGCAAAAAACATTTCACAGAGATTCTGTACTGGTAATTAAATTTAAATAAGGCATATTTATATTTAGGGATGCACAATACTGGATTTTTTGCCTTTATCCGATATGCTGATATATAACAACTCATTTTGACCGATAACCGATATCGATATATCCACTTTTTTCCCCTTATCATCAAGTCTCTTCTGTAGTCATATTATGCATCTATACTCTTAACGTGATGGTCCACCAGCAGATGGAGACATGAAATACAATACTTTTCGAAGTGTATAATATTCATTCCTTGTGCAAAATAAGAAAAAGCATGTTGGCCGATCCACATAATGATTCACTTTAAAGCCAATATCAGCTGATACCGATGATATCATCATGCATCCCTATTTATATCGCACCTTTCAAGAATGAACATTAAGTATCAAACTAAATGATCCCATGAAAAAATCCCAAAAAAGTGAGATGGCAACATGAAGATAATGTATTATTTTGGACATGTTGTAGTTTAGCATTAAAAGAACACCACAATTATGCTAGCTTGGTCAACATAAAACTTTACTAATTTCAAATTTCAAGTATTTGGATTTTTTAATAAGTTGGCACAGGTGCTGATGTCTTATAATGGTCCATGTGCTAGTCAAAGTGTACGCCACTTAATTTAAAACATGTTGATAAAGGACCAAACTCAGGCTTAAGAAAATGGATGTTGATGTATGGTTGAAATGAATTACACATCCTAAAGACAACTGAAGTGTACTGATGGTAAACTTCTCTTTGCTCCATACGTCATATCAGATCTGACTGATTAACCCAAAAAATATAAAAAACACCAGACCACACTCATAAACATGGGGTGTACAGTTTTTAACACTTAAACAGGCTTTGTGTGAATACCTGTAAATCAAACAACACAAAGTACAGTCAACTTACTGTTATTCCAATTCCTTAACTACTACAACAACCCACTTTAACATCCAATAAGCAAAATGCTCACCTCATCAAACTGAATGAAATGACTAATCTCACAGCACTATAATACAGTCACAATTAATCATGTCAATAAAGACAGAAGGAGAGAATGAAATTAGTGAGAAGTCACTTAAGTAGAGATTTAGGCTGGAGAGCAGTTAAGAGGTTTTGGTGGGTTCTAAAATGAATCCTCTTTCGAATAATTCTGCTCTCTACTGGAGAAACCCTGCAGTCCCTGAATGCCTTCTCCAAAGATTCTAGTTTAATTTAAGAACAAAGAAGTTAGTTAGTTATATAACTACCCTGTTTACATAGGCTTAAAGTTATGCACCATGGCATAACCAGATTCACAGACTATGGGTGTAGCTCTAGCTGATACTGTTTCTGTTAAAGTTTTTGTTGTCTAAAACATTCTTGCTCAGAGTTTGGTTCTACTCAGTGGTGTGGTGTAGTGGTACTTGAAGTAGCTGCACTACTAGGTAGATGGGTAGGTTTACAAGGAAGAAGACTCCGATATATACTTCAGTGGCTCTTTGGCTGATAGGTAGGTATACTGTAAACGGCTAAAAAGCGAGGTTGGTAATCCCTGCATACCTGTGTGTATCCTCCACTATACCACTGGCCATACTAAAAGACCCAATAAGGAGTCAAATACTCAGTTTTTCAGTAAGAACATTTAGTTTGAATGGTTTTAAGGCAGTTTTTCGCAAGCAAAAATGAACAACATTAGCTGTAGCTGCACAGTACTAACCAAGCTAGCAGCAAGATGGCAACAGCAAAAGGGCGAAACTCAAGGCTTCAAAACGATATCTGCGAACCAATAAGTGAGGCCACAGTGGCTACATCCATTATTTTATACCGTCTTTTTTTGGCTCAGTTAAAAAAAAGTTACATTATGATCTTTTCATATTAGAGTTTTGGTAGTGATGTTATCGTGTATACACATGAGCATACACACGACGCAGGCATGCACTAACCTGGAGTTGGTCTGTGGCCATGAGTATAGCAAACATGCTTTGAGCAGTGCACAATGCATGGTTCCAGTTGTGATATGGCACATTGTTCCTGTAGCCACGTTTCACAGTCAGAACCCACTGACAGAGCCCCTTGAGGAAAGAGACATGTGCAAGAGATGGTAAATAATTGATGAAGCATCAATTAGAATGACCTGAATTTATTATGCTTTTAATTTCTTTGCTTTTAAATTTCAATTTACCAACTGGTAAACTCTTGAGGTGAAACAATGGTGCTACTACTCTCTACCATAAAGCCTAATTATTAGCAGCTCACTTACCTTGTAATCAATGTTAAAATCCTGCACCAAATTGAGGTCCAGGAACATACGGATGGCAGCCTGAGAGGTCACATCTTCTGGCATGCCAAAATCAGAGAAATGGAAGTCTAGAATATTCAGTGATTCAACAGAAGGAATAGTGGCCTCCTGAAAATAGAAAATAAACAAAAAAGAGGGACTGAAATATACACTTACAGACACTGATCTTTCATACATCCACAAACAAAACTAAAAACACATGATTTATATTTCTGCCTCTTGCCCTCAAAACATGTGCAGGGAAATTATCTAGATTTGACCTGGATGAGGAGGTCACCATTAAGTGTGCCACTTACAGGCAGCTAGCCAAGAGCTTTAATTTGGTAGAGCATTAGTTGTATGATAGGATTAAAGAGAGTTAAAGGATAACTTCATTATTTTTTAACCTGGACCCAATTTTCCCATGTTTTTGTGTCTAAATGACTAATGGGAACAACATTTTTTAAATCTAGTCTGAGTATGAAGTGAGAGGGTTGTGGCCGGCAGCCATGAAACAGATTTCAATGTAACCACTCTGGCATGTGCACACTGTCAATTTATGTCCACTAACAGAGCATGTTTTTGCCACTGCCAGGCTCATATTGTTATTCTTAATGTCTGAAAACATTATGGAAAGGACAGGCATAGACAGACCTGTCTATTAAAAAGTAGGATCCTTTTGGTTTTACCAGACACAGCTCAAAGATTGTTATCGCCAAACCCACAAGACTCCATTTAAAGAAACAATATTTTTATCATCATTAAAAAACACTTCCTTTAAAGCTGAAATAATAATAATAATAAGATAGAAGAAGAAACAAAATAAAACTCACAAAAAATGTCTTGGTTTGTCTTTCCACTTTTCCAACATGAAATTAACTCTTTATTTACCCAATGTGATGTGAAAAATTGAGATTGCATGTGCCCAGAGTGGTTACATCTTGGTGTCTGCTGCAGTGCTCTCGTTCAATCCTGGACCAACTTCAAAACCTGTGGTTCCCATTAGTCACTTAGACATAACTACAGTTACTGCCCCGTGGTTGTATGCCTCCGCGCACCAGTGAAGTCGCACTCCTAGTTTAAATCTATGTCTGTGAAAACATGGATGCTTCGCACAGTTTCAAGGTTACCCTTTATGAGTGTCACTAATTAAGTATCTGACCAAATATTTTCCTTTCTGATATGATGTTGTGTAATGGCCAGAAAAGTGTTTTATGCAGAATATCATGATGTCACAGTGAAGTTGCCCTTTGACCATTTGGATATGAAATCTTATCACTGCATCATTTTATCCTCTTAGACATGTGCGTGAAGTTTTGTCATAATTAACATAACAATTCTTTAGTTATGGCCAAAAACCTGTGACCTTTGACCTTCAACCACAAAATTTTAATGAGTTTATTCTTCAATCCAAGTGGACGTTTGGGTCAAATTTGAAGAAATTCCCTTAAGGTGTTCTTGAGATATCGCCTTTATGAAAATGAGGCGAATGCAGGGTCACGGTGACCTTGACGTCTGACCACCAGAATCTAATCAGTTCATCCTTCAGTCCAAGTGAATGTTTGTGCCATATTTGATAAAAATTCCTTCAGGGTATGCTTGAGATATCACTGTCACAAGAATGAGACAGACAAGGTCACAGTGACCTTTGACCTATGACCACCAAAATCCATTCACTATTGAGTCCAGGGGGACATTTGTGCCAATTTTGAAGAAATTCTCCCAAGGTGTATTTGAGGTATTGTGTTCACAAAAATGGGACGTATGTACATACAACCCCAAAAACTTAATTCCTGTAGTGAGGCTCAACTTGGCTGGCAGAAAATGTTCATTTCTACCAGAAAAATAAAGTTAACAATCACCTGCAATGCTTGGATTTCCTGCTCTGCTGCGGTGATGTGGTAGGCAAGAACCTGGGAGAAGGAGAGAGATGACACATACCCCCAACATTATAAGTTGCAGCCACCTAAATATGTTCACTTGGCTGCAAGCTTAAGATGTGAGTGGACTAACTGGGTTACTCACCTCCTGTGTGACCTCTATACTGGCCCTCCGCTCCTCAGTCATCTGCACAGCCTGAGCGTACTGAAGAGCCAGGCCGCAGTACACTGCCAGGTCCTCTAGTAGGCGCTCATCATATCTGTTAAAGGCCTCCATCTCTTCTGAGTCTCTGCTCCTCTTGTTCATGAGCTGGCACACCGCTATGTGACAATAAAGACACGGATAGAGGACAGGTGTGCAGCATGAGGAAGATGTTTAATTAAACCATTATCTCATAGTCTTAATCACACTACTAGCAAACAGCTGACTTTCCCTTCCAAGAAGTCAACATCAAATAACATTTTGTATGTTTTCGAGTGCCAAGCATAACTGACTGTACCAGCATGATTAAGAGAAGGCAGGGTTTATACGGTAACATCCTGAGGCCTAGAGTTTGTGATATGATACCATGAGTGCAGCAGCGGCTGATGAAAAATGTATCATGACCTTTGCCATTCAAAAGAGACTTACCAATAACATTTTCAGACCTCTCATTTCTGACAGGACAGCAGATCAGACTCTTCATTGATTCCTCTGAGCCCTCCGACATATTGAGTGTTTCCATAGCAGCCAGAGTTTGAAGGGCATGTGATGGGTCTAAATCAGTGATATCATGCTCCCTGAAAAATAACACGGAACCAGTTACACTGTGTCTGATGCTAGATGAAGAAAATAACATTTGGTTGATGTATATAAGTATTACAAAACTGATATTAGTAAAAATCTGTCAACGTAGCTATGGACCATGCAATAATCATTCTTTGTCTTTAAGGATCAAGCAACAGGCAGAACCTTCTGTAGATCTGGCAGGTTGATCCGAGCTCCTCACACTCCAGGTGGATCACTCTGGAGAACGACACCTGAAAATAAAACCATCAGGGGAAAAGAAAACACAGCACATTAGGAAAGATATGATTTGATGCGCAATTATCTAATCAAACTCAAAGAAGGACTCAAACGAGATAACGCACCTTGTCTTTCGTAACTGGGGTTTGCTCGCTGGGGATGAAGATGGTGCAGTACTGAGCACGTGTGAAAGGCATGATGGTGGCAGCCATCTTACTTAGCAGAACTTCAAAGGAACGATGCTCCTGTGACAACACCTGTGCCATCTCTATCAAAGCCTGACGCACACAGATATACAGATACTGTAGATTACATATATACATACATAGACATAGATAGATTTCATATTGTTCTCTGTTGGTGTTACCTGGCTGCGTCTGGCCTCCTGTCTTGCGCTCTCATGCAGCTGGACATTATCCAGGACCATCCCCAACACATCCATATGATATGACAGCACCTGGCCAATAAAATTCAACTCAAACTTAACTCAAGTTTATTGCCAGCAGCCATTAGTCACTTCTTAATGAAATGTGTATATACATTTAGTCAGCATTAAAATTGGAGACTATTACAAGTATTGCAACAGACAAGAGCTCTAACATTTGCTGCCCTGTGGTGACGGGGCCAAGCTTCCCATCCCTCACCTTTTCATCATTGTTGGTAAAAGCAGAATCTGATCCTTCACAGACATTTCTCTTGTTGATCATAACCACAACACCTACCACCTGTACACAAAGAGAAGACATGTTTTATTATTACAGAATCTTTGTTTGAACCTCTACAATACATTGCACTGAAGGTTCCATAGGTCTGTGGTTATATTTACCCAGATTAAACATTAAAGCTGTAGTACAAATAACTTTTTGTCTTATTTGCTAAAACTTAGACAATATCCACACAGAAGACCATGAGACAGATAGTCTGTGGGGAAAAAAAATCAGGTTCCTTCACCCACTCCTTGTGCTTTCAATGGCATTTGCGTGAATATACCACAGCTCATGGAAAACAACCAATCAGAGCCGAGGAGTTTCTTAAGCAGCTGTCAATCATGTCAATACCTGCTTGTCACCGGCGGTCAGACTGTCAAACTAGGTAGCGCTGATTAAATATGAATCAAGATTCTGTTACTGCATTGGCTATTTCTTGTCTTAAATGTTTTCCAGAAATATTTTAGTGTACTGTTTAGCTGTAAAATGAGAAAGTTTGTAACCTGGCTGCCGCATTGGAAACAACTGGAGCATTACCCACCAGCCGAATCAAACTTTCTCATTTTACAGCTAAACAGTACACTAAAAAATGTTTCTGAAGACATTCGTATGCAGCTGTAAAGTTTGCTGAATGCCATTAGAAGAAAAGGGAACAGGAGGAGGAGCCTGATATTTTTTTCACAGACTATCTATCTCATATACTACTGTGTGGATATAGTGACAATTCTAACAAATATGACAAAAAGTTATTTTTATAAAAGTCAGAAAAAGGCAAAAAGCACATATCATATCATCTTAAAATAAAAGCAGAAAGTAGTTTCAAATGTTACCTCTCCCCTGTGGTTATTAATGGGAACACTCAAAACAGTCCTGATCGTGGATGATTGATCGTCATCTATGTCAAATCTGGGGACCTGAGGAGGTAAGCAATGAACTCTTAAGTACACGATACACTGCAGACAAACACATCACTTATTTTTTACGTAACTGTTAATTGCAACATTGTGATTAAGATCTTTATGTAGCCTAATTTAGTCGCAACAGACTCCACCCAAACTTTACTCCATTCATAGCCTTGTGTCCTTAGAATACCTGGTCAATATTGCTCATTGGCTTTAGACACACCCAGCCAGGAATACCCACGTTTCTCAGTAACCTTGGTGTCACACAGGTTATTAGGAACTACCCATCTACACCCACGCTGACCGGGGATTACCTTCCATCTGTGCCAGGTGTTGGCACTGGTTCCTAATCACATTGGTAAGGACAGGGAGCGGTGGTGTGGGCACCACCTGTAAGCCTTTTAGTAAGCTGTACTGTCTTTTCTCTTTGCGTGGGTGTGTGTATGCGTGGGTGTGTGCAAGAGAGGGACATTATAACATAGTAGGGAACTACAGTGTCCCGCTAATCAGAGGTTAATTAGTGGAGGAAGCCTCTAAAAGGATTAGAATCAAGTGCGTCATCTGGGATTCCCTAACACACCCCCACACAACATAAAATAACCGTGCCATCGTTTAAAAACAGGTTATCAGGAAATGAGTGACTCATTTAGTGTAGCCTTGAGTTCTCATTCCTAATTTAAAATACCTGGTGACAACAAACTAACAACTTGGCCATGTGTAGAAACTTGTCAGTCTGTTGTGTTATACAAAGCATGCTGCAAAATCAAGAGTCATGACGACTACGAGTAATGTGTGAGTTTGACAGTTTACCTCTGATGCATTTCTCAGGTTCATTGGTGACCCTGTAGCCAGTACACATCCCATGATACCCTTCACCAGGTCCAGGTGTGCATGGCTGCCTTCACTCAAGCACCCCAACCCTGTCGGGGCGACCACCTCCTCCAGGGTGCTCCTTCTACTGCTGTCTTTCTTAACCAGAGACAGGGAGCAACACTCAGCTGCAAGCAGCTCCCCAGAGTGCAGGACAGCCCCCTGGCAGAGCTCTGTCACAGAACCCATCCAGCTGAGACCTCCTCTTAGGAGCTCCATCATCCACGGGCAGTATTCACCATGGCCACAGGCTTCAGTGTTTGTGGCAGTGAGAAGCAGAGGATGGGGAGAGCGGGATAAGTCAGGGGAGCTGGGGCAAACGGGAGAAAGAGGACGGCAAGGAGAAAAAGAGAAGCGAGAAGAACGAGCAGAGCGTGGAGAGCAAGGGGAATGACAGCCAAGAATATCTGGACTGAAGCGATCATTCCACTCAGGGGCACTGAGATTGGAGGCGAGGGGTTTGAGCCTGTCTGTCAAGGATGAAATGTTTAAATGTGAGCTGGACAGTGGAGAGGAAGCTCTGCGATGATGAGGCTTCCTGCGCAGGCCAGAGTGGTCAGAGCTGCTCCTGGGCAGTGGAGACTCTGTTTGTGAAGTGCTGACCCTGAAACCACAGAAAAGACACATAACTGATCAGAACATGACATTTTTTGTGTGGAAGAGACATCATTGCCTTACTGCAAGTTTGTTACTTAAGTAATTTTCTAAAGCCCCATTTTCTTGGCTTACAAACATTTACATCATCATACAGAGTATCATTAAGCGCACACTTCTGTCTAAATTGTTTTGTACTGTAGGCTACTTTTCAAATAAAGGGCTATACTGTAAAATATCTTACGCGGAAGCTCTGCGTAAAAAGTACGCCCTCGTAAAGTCGGAGTGGTCGTCCAGCCATGCCTCCACTTGGTCGCTTCTCATACCGTCTGCAAACCTCTTGCTGCGCGTCTTGGAGCGCGGGCTCCACAGCGGAGAGAAGAACCAGCCCATGCCTCTCACCATCTGCGGCTCAGTCACAGTTTCCCTGAGGAGGGACTCCTCTGTCCCCGCGGCAGAAGATGCTGCTCCTGGTGTCGAACCGTCAGGCTCCATGGACTCTAGCGCTTCGGAGTGGAGGCAGGGCATCCCCTCACTCAGGTAAAGCGAGAAAAGGTCGACTAAACTCAGTTTTTACGCCTGATGATGCGCTATCTGGGAGGAACACCTGTCATGTGGAAGTAGTGAAACAGACTGAAGTGACGTGACAGAGAGGAGAGCGATGCTTATGGGAGAGCCAGTGGAAACGATTGCGTCAAGGTAATCCCCTGACCTTTACTTAGCCGATCTGGCACCCCAGGTGTATTCATTAAACGGAGCCGATTTAAACTGCATCACGGGCAGAGCCAGACTTGTAGACATTTGAGGCTGAGGGCAAACCTAAGGGGGGGTCAATGGGCAGGCTCCCACAGCAGATTTTTTCCCAGTGGTACTGGGCTGTTAGGCACCTATATGCACTATTTTTTCAAGCCATTTGAGATTGTAGAATGCCTAAAATTCTGAACATAATTTAGGAACAAAATGGTATCTGTCAAGGAAAAAAAAACTGTCCTGTAGAGCCTACATCACATTTCTATATCTAATTGTTCTCCAGCTGTCTTAATCATCCTGAAAACATAATACAATAAAATTAAAGGTGTCTAATTTTCACTCCTGCCACCTAAAGAGAGGCAAACATTGCCTGATATTACTACTTTTAAGATACATAACATAGGTAGGGCAGGAATTTGGCGTAAACAGTATTACTAATCTTGAAACCATTTGAATTCCTGCCATACTAATCTGGGCTGCTCTAACACAAACCAAGGATCTGCAACAATGCAAAGTAATTGTGTTTAAATATTATAAATTGAATATTAGAACAACCAAATAACATTTATCCAATTAGAATTCTTTAGGGAACAGAGTAGATTCAGGGATTTTGAGAATACATGCAAAGCTGGAGCCCCAAAAGGCCTCCTCCAACCACCCCTGAACTTAATAACAGAATTAATGGATCAGGTCCATCCGCAGGCTCTGCTCCATTATTAATTAGCTCATTAGTCCCCCTTTCAAATTATGCTAATGTGGCACTAAGAAAGTTCAACTTTCCCATCAATACTGCCTATGTTTACCCCGTTTATAAAAATGTTATAAAGTAATTGACATTCATTTGACTTATTTCACTTATCATTCACATACTGGGAATGGTCGTACAAAAAATAACAGGATTGTATTAAAATAAATGTAATAATTGTCTATGAAATCAAAAGTAATGCGATGAAGACGTTGCTTTAAAGTAGGTTTTTTGTTACTTATTGTTGTATATGTATGTTTGGTTCACTTTGGTGTTAGAACGTGGGTCTCAAAAACAAGATATAATACACATTTTTAAGTTATAAACACTGGTGGGTAGAATTAGACATTTAGATAAATAGCTGTCTAAAATTAGACTTTGCAAAGTACAAGAATCTTGAAATAAACTTAAGGCCTTCCTTAAATTTTATGTTTTGTTTTGTTTTGTTTCTTAAGTGCACCAGACCACAGTGGTCTGTGAATTATTTAGACCTTAAGTAAAAGTGGAAATACCACAATGTAGAAATACTCTGCTAAAAGTAATAGTCCTGATTACAAATATATATATATAGTATTAGCATCCAATAATCTTACTGTAACAAGAGTAAAAGTGCCCATTATGCAGAATGGCCCATTTAGAAAAATGTTGATATTATATTACTGGGTTATAGTTAGTGATGCAATAATATGAAAGCATTCCTTTAATGTTAAAGCTGCTAAAGGCTAAGCTCATTTCTTTCATTTTATATACTGCTGGGTATTTTAATCAATAGGCTGACAATATGTCAATGGATTAGATGATTAAAATCTGTAATAATAATCTAAATCTGCAAAGTAACTAAATAAAGTTGTCAGATTAAAGTATTGGGAGTAAAAAGTAATATTTGCCCCTCAAGTGTTATTGGAATAAGTGTAAAGCAGCATATTAATACAAGCAGCTCCAATTTGTACTTAAATAGAATACTTGCGTAAATGTACTTAGTTACATTCCACCCAGGGGCGTAAATATAGACAGTGCAAGCAGTGAGGTCGCACTGGGGCCCGTGGGGTGGGGGGCCCTAGAGAGTGATTCAGATTGCCTCCTCAAAAATACAACTGTAATTACATAAGAAGTCATAGTAAACTATAAGTGGTGCCATTTGCTATTTTTGCCCACAAAAAGGCCAAGAAGGCCAAGTCAGTAGCAGTCTCTAGCAAAATGATGTGCTTATTCTACATAACCTATAAAAACTAAAAACTAAAAACTAAACTACAGTACATATATAAAAACACTGATGACACAATTATGACTGCTGGGTAATATTTATGTTGATGCTGTCCTGTGTAAAGTTATTATTTGATCATGTGCTGAGATGCTAGGATGTATGGTAGCTAGTTTAAACTCAAAATCTGGCTCTCGGGCCCATCACAGTAATATGCCCTGGGGCCCATCATGACTACCTTACATGACTGATTCCACCACTGGCAAAACATGCACACAAAATATGACCAGTAATGTATAAGACGGAAGAAATACATGCTAGTGTTAGTACTGTAAATGGTAGTGGTGAGGGGTGACCTCACTTGGCAGGCCTTAAAGAGTGGAGTGCTGGAATGGCAGTAATGTACAACTTCTAAAAAGAGATGTCAAATTCTGTTTGATTTTAAAGCTACGTTTATATAACTTTTATAAAAAAAATTGTCATATTTGCTTACCCTGTCATTATTCACACAACAGTACATGACATAAACTTTATGTTCAAAAAGAGGTTCCTCCTCCCTCTCCTTGTGCTTTAATATCATTTGCTGAAATCTGCCGCAGCTCACAAAAAATAACCAATAAGCGACTACCAATTATGCCGATAATTGCTCGTGAACTGCAGTCAAATTGTCAAACTAGGCAGTGCTGATCATATACGAATCAAGATTCTACAACTGCATATTTCTAATCTCAAATGTTTTCAGAAACAAATTTTAGCGCACTGTTTAGCTGTAAAATGAGAACGTTTTCTCCAGCCAGTGGGAGGTGCTTTGTTTTGGCTTGACTGTTTTCAACATGGCGGCAGAGTCACAAATGTTCTCTTTTTAAAACACAAGACACAGGACATTCAGTAAGGATAAAAATGAGCTGGAAGATCAAGTTCATCCATTCTGTTGGTAATCAACAAAGATACTTGGAAGTGTTAGCCGAGCCTGTACTCTTGCTGGCATCCTCTCTTTCTGTCTCATCTCCCTCCTTCGCCTCCATCGCCTGCTGGGCCAGCTAACAAACGACTTTGACTCTGGCGGTCTGGCGATGTCCAGCGGGATGATGTTAGCCCTCTGGTTATCGCTTGAAACACACATAATATAACATGATCTGATGTCGCTTAACTCTTATCAACTGTACAGGTAGTCTGCCTGATACAGAGCTGAATACGCAGACAAAAAACACACAAACTAGAGCCACTAAGTGCGCGCCGCCATCTTGATCCCCATTAGAAGTGCTGCAAGACAGAGTAAGCAGAGTACTATGATTTTTTTATTATCTGTCTCGTGAACTGCTGTGTGGCTTCAGAGACCGTTTCAGCAAACATGACAAAGTGTTTTTTTGTTTGTTTGTTTGTTTGTTTTAAATAAAAGCTTCCAGTAGTTTTAAAGGGATGTCTTGTAAATAGTCACTTTAGAGCAGCGTAGTAAGGGAAACGTAAGAAAGAGTCAGTGCAATGCTTGTTTTTGAGTGAATGCCAAACAGTGCTATTCCAGGAAAAGGCTCAAACAGTCTGTTAGTAAAGGAAATATCCAATTCCACTAATAGACAGCCTCTGAGAGGGCCACTGTTGTGTCTGGAGAGAGCAACAAAGAAGTCGACACTCATTGGTATGTGAGCATTTAATTCCCTTTAAAGCCTGGCTCTGTGTTGTAATTCAAGCCTTTCCTTTTAAATCCCCTTTATTTCTTTATGCATATCACCAGTGTCTAACCACACACCACTCAGTGTCTCAGTGCTCCCTCTGCTGGCCTCTTCCTCCTTCATCATCTGCAGTGGGTGGATCCACGAGTGACAGCTGTGCCACGATTGGCTGCTCCAGGAGGAGGCTGCCATGACACAGTGGATGCTGCACGGAATCAGTTCCACAGCATCAGCAGGCAGCGGACCTCCATCCTCCTCGTTATCCCTCTCTCTCTTCTCTTTTTTCTCCTCCTTTGCCTCTCCTCCTCTCACCACCACCACCCTTGCTCTCTCTTTTCTCTCCCTTCTCCTCTCCCTGGGACAGACACGCAGGCCTGCCTGGGCACTCTGCAGCAGAGGACGTACACACGCCAGCAGGAGCAGCAGCAGCAGCAGGCGGACTGGTAGGTGTGTTGAGGCCTGTCTCCTTCCTGCAGCATAGGCAAGACATCGCGTTCTCCTCTGATCTCCGTCAAGGACTATCTATTTGAGAAGTGTGTGTGTGTGAGAGAGAGCAGGGATCTGGAAAGTAGGCAGAGAGGACTACCACACCCTGAGAGCATTTACTGCCACTGCTGGAGCTTCACTGGTTGAATGTTGCAGTAGATATTTTCATCCTCACATCCTCTCCCCTGTGCTTGTTTCTGTGTGCATACACAAGGATGTATATTCTCCGTTTCTCTGCTGGAGCTGTTTGTTGTTTTATCTCCATGCTACAGCTCTGGGATTTGCCTCGGCGTTGACTAGGCCTTGTGCGTCTGCACACGTGTGTTTTTGCTAATGAGTGTGTTGAATGTCTAACAAAGGTCACACCATTTGGCATGCTGTGTGCACGTATTGTCAGCCCACCTAATGACAGCCATCCTCTTTTCTTCCCAACTTCATCACCAGCCTTCCCATCCACTTTCTCCCCGCCTCACATCTTCTACTTCACCACTTTCCTCTTTTCTGTCCTCCTGCATCTCCTTTTTCTCTCATTCCATTTCCTCTCTCTCCTCCCTCTCCATCCTCATCTCCATCTCCTCTTCACGCCTCTTCTCCTTCCTTCCTGGCTGGCTGCTTTCCCAGGATGCCTTGTTCCAGGCCGTTTCGCTAGGCCCTAGCAGCATGGGCGCAGTCTGGGTGGGGAGAGAGAGCACGGATTGGAGCCTTCCCCTCAGGACGGGCGCGCTGGCGGGTCACCCTCCCTCGGCTTCAGATGGGCGAGGACGCTGAGAGCCCCAAAATCAACCACACCTTCCTGCGAGACTACGTCACTGAAGGTAGAACAGACGGTGTGTCATTGCTGTCTCTGTGGTGTCAGATAACATGCTGCTATGATTGAATGGATTCATTTCAGCATCATGGGTGTATTATCCCTGCACTGAGAATGGATATTGACATTAATCATTCCATGACTTACTGGACGGCTAATGAAAGACACTTAACTGTTTTACATATGATTTTGGCATTGTATTCTCTTATGACAGATAAATATTTGATCATTATCATTTGGAGTTTAAGGAGCTGGTAGCAGAATTAACATTTGGTGCTTATTTTCTTGTCCTATTGAGAATGTATCCACATCAGGCCCAAGCACCATGAGTAAGAGTTATTCTGGTTAAACAGGATACTTTCTATTGATCCAGTATTTTTTTTCCTGTCCACATTTCTCTTAATTCTCTGTGTCTAATTTTCCCTGTGCCTACTTGATTTCATTCCTATTCTATCCTCTCGCATCTCTCCTTCAACCCTACATCTTTTATTCTAACCATTATTCTGCCATATCACCTCAAATGTTTTTGGTCATCTTCCAGCTGATGTCATCTCTACGGTGGAGTTTAACCAGACAGGGGACCTGCTGGCCACGGGGGATAAAGGTGGCCGAGTGGTCATCTTCCAGAGAGAGACTGAGGTCAGTTTTACATCTAAAACTTGAAATAATCACCACCATTCTATATTCAGGATATCAGCATGGATTAATAGTTACTACCTACACCATAACTACAATATTCTGTGCCTCACTTTTCCCCAAAGAGATGTTCTTTCTATTATATCTTTACACATAAGTGTTCTTTCAAGGCTGTGTTTTCTTCCTTCTCTGCCCCGGACAGTCTAAAGGAGAGTCGGAAGAGGGAGGGGAGACGGGTGACTCTGGGGAGTACAATGTCTACAGCACGTTCCAGAGCCACGAGCCGGACTTTGACTACCTGAAGAGTCTGGAGATTGAAGAGAAAATCAACAAGATCAGATGGTTGCCACAGCAGAATGCAGCGCATTTCCTCCTCTCCACCAATGGTGAGAAACCACTGACACCAGGAGATAAACCAGGAGCCCCATTTCAACAAAATATCCCCACTGCTTGTCCTTTCTTAAGTGTCTTCCCATTACAGATGCAATTCCTAAACTCTGTATCCTATCCTATCTGAGACCTCCTATCTTATGTTAAGAAATACTAACTGTAATTGTAAATTTGATTTGTCAATCGGCAGTCGTCCTGTTAGACAGGTATCTATGCTTAAAATGTACCAGTAGGCCACTTGTTTTATATTTAGGACCGGCTCTATGCCATCCTAACTTAAGATTTCTAACTTGGAAAATCCCTAAGTTAGTAAAGTTCTTAAATAGCTAAATTTCTATCTGGAGATAAGAGGATTTTTCCTAAATGTAGTTAGGAAACATAGTCCTGTAATAGCAGAAATCCTAAACATCATCCTAAACTGGGTTGAGATATAATTTCAGATTTAGGAAGTTTCAGTAATGTGGCGCCAGATCTCTTATTCCTAGCTAGGCTAAAGCTCAACTTGTAGACCGGTGCACAGTTGTACTGTGAGATATCCGCTGTGAATGTGCATGATTTTTGATTGATAGTAGAAATGACATGACTGGCTTCATCTTCTGTTACCAAAGTGAGATAATGTAACATCAGGCCAGTCGTTGAAATCACATTTGTGGCTACAGTATTGGCACCAAACTGCCAGTGTAAAAACCACAGAATCTAATCTGGGCTTTAATGATATTCCTGTCATGAGACTGAATCGTCCTAAAATGCTCATCTGAATTGCCATAGAAAATTGTCACTTGAAGAGGAAATCATTGTCAGGTCTCTCCTCCGCTGATACGCCTTTTCCACCAACATGAATCAAGTTCCGTTCAGGTCCCCGACACTTTTTTCAAACCATTAGGAGCATTTAGACAAAAAATACATTGGTTTGGGGAGTTGGTTCCAAGCTGGAACCAAAAAATGTAAAGTTTTTCTTACCTGAAGTGTGAACTCAGATGACATCAGTGGGAGAGGAGTCTTGAATGTAATAGTATTCTATTTCTTCTTATCATTAATTGGTCCATGCTTGCTTTTTGGATAAAAACAAATATCTGTAATAACAGAGCAAAAGCTTGCAGGTAATCAATCAAATCAGCCATCTTGCTACTATCAAGTACTTCTATTGTGCATCGTGCAATGCCCTCTGCTGTATCACAATCTTGATTACAATGGTTTCACTCAAATCTGGTGGAAATATGAGCTGGCTTGGTTTGATAGTACCAAGGTTTGGAATGGAGCTAATATGGTGGAAAAGGGGTATAAATTGTCTGTGGCATTTATCATCAGCTTTCTCTCAACATAATCAACTTGTGGTGATGTGCAAATCTTTCTGCCTGTCACAGATAAGACCATTAAACTGTGGAAGGTGAGCGAGAGAGACAAGAGACCAGAGGGATACAACCTGAAAGATGAGGAGGGACGGATCAAGGACATCTCTACCATCACCTCTCTGCAGGTGCGCGCACACACACACACACACACACACACACACACACCTTTATTTTGGTCAGCACGTATCAGGTTGATGCCCTCATATGACCCCTTACTCTCATGTCCTCTAATTCTGTCTTTCTAGTCTGCCTTGTTGTCTTTCTATAACCCTAGTTTTTACCCCTGCTCTCTTTCTGTCATCGCCTCTTTCATCAATCCTCTCTATTGATGTATTTAAGGTGCCGGTACTGAAACCCACAGATCTGATGGTAGAGGTTCGTCCCAGACGAGTGTTCGCCAACGGACATACCTACCATGTTAACTCCATCTCAGTCAACAGTGACGGGGAGACCTACCTGTCTGCAGATGACCTCCGCATCAATATGTGGCACCTGGGCATCACGGACCGCAGCTTCAGTATCCTTCCCAACACTAACTCGTTTTATATTATACACATTTTATCAATACCACTCTGCTTGTAAACATCGTGCTCCGCTTTGTATAACCCTGTAGTTCACCTCTGATTTTTGTGTGTAATGTAATCTTTTACTGGAGGAGGTGACTCAGATTTCACAGGGTATAAAATTGAGTGAATCAAAGGGCTATCTTTTTCACTGTTATGAAAGTATCAGTGTGTGTCATCACAAGCAATTCTGCAGCATCAATGTGAAAATTGTAATAGGATAATTTTTAAGTAAAAATCAGTTTCTGTAACAGGAATATGGGGACAAAATAAGAAGAGTGGAAGTGATTGAGCCTTTTCCTAAAGCTTAAGGTTGAAATACTATCATAATGAGTCAATATTTTGGGGTTCAGTTTACATCCATTTAATCATTTTTTAAACTTAAAATGTCCCTATGTATGTTAAAGCGTTTGACTCGATCACATGAACTAGTAGTGTTAATAATATGCACCACATGCAAGTCTGCCCCATGTATCTACATGCTCTCTGATGCTCACACACACAACTCCACCTCTTGAAATATACATTCAGATGAAATATACTTTACATTCCTGCTCATCTGAATTCATCCTTTATCTATATTTAATGTAAACAGCCCATGACTATGTTTGGATTTATGTTTTTCGATTAAAGTGCTGCGTGTCGCCTCAGAGTGTGTATTCAGCGCAGGCTGTAGCGTGTTCGACGGGGGTGCATTTGGTGATTTCCCATTCAAATGGAGGCTGACCTAGAAAATCACAGAGGCATCTATGGAAGAAGAGTTTAAATAATTCACTCAGCAGTACACTTTCTACTGAACCACACAGGACTACCACAAATAGAACAGAGAGAGGAGCAGAGTGTGCATGCATATTGGGGGTTGGTTGGGGAGCATTTTTTTGGGTTGTGATATGAAGTGAGGTGAAAGTGTGGAGAACATGTACTGAAAAATATGTCTCATCACTCTACTGCAAAAATATGATAACATACATCATGCCATGTGCATAGTCTTAATACCTTGTCTGTCCTGGAATACCTTTGTTCAGTTCGATATTTCTTAAAAATGTGGTGCTATCTCTGTGGTGTTTAATCCCTAACAGACCTTTTTCTCAGATATTGTGGACATCAAACCAGCCAACATGGAGGATCTGACGGAGGTGATAACAGCAGCAGAGTTCCACCCTCACCACTGCCACTTGTTTGTGTACAGCAGCAGCAAGGGCACCTTGCGCCTCTGTGACATGAGAGCCTCCGCACTCTGCGACAGACACACCAAACGTGAGCATACTGACATTAGACATTTTATTCTCAATGATGAAAACTTTGTTACATAGAATGGAGCATGAGGCATGTTGGTCACCCAAAACATAATCTGCAACTCCACACACTTAGAAATAAAGGTGCTTACTAGAACCACAAAGAGTTCTTCGGCTTGTCCCCATAGGAGAACCATGTAGAGCCTTTTATAAAGGTTCTACCTGGAACTATTTCAGAGGTTTATACCTAGAACCATCTGTGAAAGGTGCCACAGAACCCCCTATGAGAGATTCTACAGAGAATTCTTATATAGTTTAATTGTTCAACCCAGATCCCTGTTTGGGGGTTCTATCCAGATCCTTCCCACCCTCCAAGGAGGTTTACAGGAACCCACCCAGGGGGCTTTACTGAGAATCCTTATATATTCCAAGGGTTTTATCAAGAGCCCATTCAAGGGGGTCTCTAAAAATAGTTTTTGACTCGATAATCCATGGATCTCTGTCCCACTAATCATGGGACAGAGATCAAGGAACCCATGTAGAGCAGTGTTCAGGGTCAGGAGCTGATGTTGTCCAGCTAGACCAAATAACAATAATGGTTCACAAGCATGTTTTTAGGGAAGTGGAGATTTCCTGAAATCATTACTACCACTACAGCCTTTACTATTTCAATGGTGCAGTAGGGTTAGGCGTAAAGGACTTGGTTCCAAATTAGAATTGAATACAAATTTCTAAGTACCAGGTACTGTGAAGAAAAAAAAGACTAGGATAGGATAGGATAGGATAGTGGCAGACCATGTAGTATTGTATGGCATGAAATGATGGTAAAGATATCAACTATGCCAAAAATGAATTGATTAAGTGGAGGCCGGACACATCTGTATTAAAAATACCATTTGAAACCTGGGTCAACATTTGAATATTTGAGGGTAAGAATATTCAATTTCAACAATCCTTGAAGAACTCTTTCCACCACAAAAGAGTTCCTTGGATGAAAAGGGCACTTCATGGAACTGTTAGTGTTACAAGGAACCCTTGAAAAATGCTTTCTTCAGAAAAGGGTCCTTCAGAAGCAAATTGTTCTGGGTAGAACCTCAGCCCTTCAGGAAGAATCTTTTGCAACCCTTATTTCTAAGAATGTATTTGTGAATAATTGATCACTCTTTTGTTGGTCAGTGTTTGAGGAACCTGAGGATCCAGGGAGCCGGTCCTTCTTCTCAGAGATTATTTCCTCTGTGTCGGATGTTAAGTTCAGCCACAGTGGACGTTACCTGCTGACCAGAGACTACCTCACCGCCAAGGTGTGGGACCTGAACATGGACAAGGGCCCCGTGGAAACATACCAGGTAAAGTGGCACATCTGTTTCCTGATCTGTGTCTCTTCCACGTGTCAGTTACAATCTGTATCTGATAGAACGTACGCTCACCAATCCAGTTAATGCATTCCTTGTAGCCTGCGTTTGTCGTGTTGTTGAGGAATATGACATCTAAGCAGAATTTAAACTCATGCAGTCTGCTGTAGATGTTGTGCTTTGCCTGTGGTCAATGCACTGGACCACCATGTATAATTCTGCATCTACCCCAGAAACTAAGGTTGACTGTGTGTTTGATCCCCAGGTCCATGAATACCTAAGGAGTAAACTGTGTTCCCTCTATGAAAATGACTGCATCTTTGACAAGTTTGAGTGTGTTTGGAACAGCTCAGACAGGTAAGTGGCAGAGATAAAAAGGAGAGAAGGACAGAAAATGTACAGTATATTTAAGTCCACTTGAAAGCAAAGGAGCAGGGAGTGCGTCAGCCTGTTTCTGCTTGCAGTGATTCCCTAAATGCTCTGCCTCTGCCATTATCCGACATTTAAATCAATCCCAGAGACAAGCTTTGCAGACATCTAATCAATCCCTGCGCCTTCAGTTTTGTTTTCTTCCTCTCCACTTCCTCACCCTTCCATGAACCGTGCTTTTCTGCACTGCATTCACTTGCCCTTCTCAATATGACATCTCATTATGCCAATCTCTCCTCTCCTCAGCGTGATCATGACAGGGGCATACAACAGCTTCTTCCGGATGTTTGACAGGGAGACGGGGCGAGGTGTAACCCTGGAGGCTTGGCGAGAAAGCAGCAAGCCTCGGGCCGTGCTGCGGACCCGCCGCGTGTACACCGGCGGCAAGCGTCGCCGTGGAGATGTGGGCGTTGACAGCCTGGACTTTACCAAGAAAATCCTGCACATGGCTTGGCACCCTTCTGAGAATATCATTGCCATAGCAGCCACCAACAACCTGTACATCTTTCAGGATCGAGTCAACCCTGAGACGCAGGTGCAGTGACAGGGCTTGGAACATGGACAGTGGCAGACACAGAGAAACACAAACAGCGACCCAAATACATTTGGATGTCTTAGAGATGGCATGGGGAATGGACAGCCCTTATGAAAAGATTAAGTCAGAGCCAAGCTGTTTCACAAAATACTGCACCATCTGTTTGTGTTGATAGAAGGTCGGATTATTGCTAAAATCACAAGACTGTTAATATATTTGATCCCCAAGGAAGGTGTATAATCATTTTTGTTTGATGCTGACACAAACTGACATCTCCGGTACCCATCAGGACATGTTTTTGGTCCCTATTTTGGAAGATGTTTGTGTAACTGCTCCACCATAGGGGCAGTAAAAGAGGTGCGGGGACACCTCTCCATCTGCATTGACTCAGTGCTGTTGACCACACAATGTTGCACTCCTCACTGATGTGCTCTGGTACCTTGTGACACAAAATGGAAGATAGGTAATGACAGGGAATCATGCTACAAAACATAAAGGTCTTGAGTTGACGGATTCCCAAAAGACTTTGCCAGACAGTGCATCTAAATCCAAGCATTTTTTTCACTATTGTGGAACATTAGGAGTGGTGTTATTGTAGAGCTCTTCACAACAACATGCCAAACCTTTTTTTTTTCTCTTTCAAGCGACAACAGCAGCTGAACCCCTCCTTTAGAGCAGTGCTCTTGGAGATTTCACTCATAAATGCCCCATAATGTTTGCCCTATTCACTTTGCAATAATATAAGCACTAACAGAAACACAGTGCAGCAGTATTTCTGCTTTAAAACATGAGCTCTTCTTCTACAGGTATACACTCTTTTTACTCTTAGCTGTAAATATTCTGTGTTTTTTTTTAAGGTGGTACCAATTTTGGTTCCAGAGAGCTAAAAGATAAAAGATGCATTTTTATGTCTAGTACACTGCAGATGAAACTGGGATCTCACGTATAGAAAGATTGCGGAATCACACTATTTCTGTTAAAGAAGGATTTTTTTCTTGTAGCAGTACATAGATAGGTATTGCTGGCTGTGGAGAGGGTGGATTGCATTGTGCACAAACCAACACCTACAGTTTTGTTGTGTATATTAGGCCCATATTAGGTTTTAATTGATGTAATTTAATTGTCTAAAGTCTACATACCCATTTGGTAAATTACTGAAAATGAAAGAGATGTTTAGCTCTCTCACAAACGCTTAAATTGAGGTTGATTGACGGTTGAAAATAATACGTACAAAAGTTTAATTTGTGTTAAGTGTTATGCTAATTTAAAATGAGCTATGTTCATTTTATAATGCATAAGCACATCTTAAAAGTACCTTACAATCAAGAAAAAGATGGAAGCACATTGTTCCTAATTGAGGCCCCTGATTTAGCCAATTTTTGTTGAGTGAGTTTGTGTCCAGTGTATTTGAGGGTCGAAGGTGATCATCAGTGCAATAGCTCATTATGTACATTGCTGAAATGTCTTTAACATTCAAACAATAATGTCATCATGTGAATTTATCATATCACAGGTTCATAATGTCATTACGCCGTATACCTCACAGTGCCACACGCTACTCTGGAGTGAAAACCCCGGTATGTACAGCAGGAGGTGGAGTCTGTGTCAACTGAATTCTTGGTCAAGATTTGATTGTTTACAGTGAAGTGCTTTGTTTTTAAGTGACCTTGGCCCTGATGGCATAATAAGTGGTCTGGATGTTAACTGTAGCAGGTGGAGTAAGAGAATACAGTGCAGAGGTAGAGGTTGCACTTTTTCCAAATCTGTCTCTGTCTGATAGATCAACATCAGTTTCACTGTGTAAACCGTAAACCCCAAGAAAACAAGGCAGTTGTTGATATATATATGTTCCGCTTGTCTGCTCTCTCCTCACTTTCCACCTCCTTTGGTTTCAAAATTACAGCTCACAGACATTTCTGCTACAGCCTGTGGTCTAGTGTCTATGTTTTGGTCTTCACCGTCCAAGTGTTGTTGAATACACTCACAGTCTTGCACTGATTGGTTTCACAAAGTGTATCACAACAAAATCCACAATGACAACCCACAGGAAAATGGTTTACATAGTGACAGGCCACCTGAAGCATTATATAAGTTCCAGGGCTCAGTCCTCCAATGGTGAACTGTAGTTTAGAGCAGGTCAGTTGTAATTGCATCATAACCACCAACACCACAAGCAAACAGTGAGAGGATTTGTATTCAGGAGCACAGCAGCAGCAGCAGCAGCAGCAGCAGCAGCATGTTGCCATTACTCAATGCTACTAGCGTGTATATCTATCATACTTTAAAAAAGACAAATCTAACAATACAAAAAACATAACTCAAATGAGGTGAATGAAAGGAATGTGCATTAATAAAATAATATGAAATCTGACAAAAAAAGAGTGTTGGATCCTTTTATGTCTGTGTCTCTATATTTAATGGAACACTATTTTTCCCATTCCTGAAACACATCACTGAAATACTCAATCTGAATCAAAGCATCCACAAGGTGTTTTTTTTTTTTTTTTGAAAGACAAGCACTTTAATAGTCATTGCACGCTCCCAGAAACTCCATCACCAAATAAAAAGGCACTCAATTTCACAGTATACAGGCTCAACATCAATGATTGTCACATTTCACATGTAAGTAGAAGTTTAACACTGTTCACATATATGGCTTTTAAAAATGTCTTTAAATCTGTGTATCTACAAAAACAAAAACAACAACAAAAAAAATAGAATTACCACCATGTGGTTGTATGCCTCCGTGCACCGGTCAAGTTGCAGTTACAGTTTCCATCCATGTCTGTGAAAACATGGATGCTTGACACGCATCTTCCCCCCGGCAGCACAGAAGATCTATGAAGTCAGCACAGTTTCTAGGTGGACACATTATGATGTCACAGTGAAGTTGACCTTTTGGACATATAATGTCATCAATTCATAATTTTATCCTGTCAGACATTTGTGTGAAAATCTTATCATAATTAGTGTATGAATTCTTAAGTTTTGGCCAAAAACATATTTTGTGTGTGACCTGTGACCTATGACCACCAAATTCGATTAGTTCACTGTTGAGCCCAAATGGACATTTGTGCCAAATTCGAAAAAGAAATTCTCTCAAGGCATTCTTGAGATATTGCATTCAAGAGAATGAGATCGATAAGGTCATAGTGACCTTGACCTTTGATCTATGACCACCAAATTCGATCAGGTCATTGTTGAGTCCAACTTGACATTTGTGCCAAATTCGAAAAAGAAATTCTCTCAAGGCATTCTTGAGATATAGTATTCATGACAATTAGACGGACAAGGTCACAGTGATCCTGACCTTTGACCTCTGACCACCAAAATCTAATCAGTTCATCCCTGAGTACAAGAAACAGTTGTGCCAGATTCTAAAAAATTCTCTCAAGGTGTTCTTGAGATATCGTGTTCACAAGAATTAGGCAGACGAATGGATGGACGGACAGACAACTGTAACCTTAAAAAGGTAGGCGGAAAAAAGCCCCAATTTCAGCTTTGTGTCTGCATTTTTCAGATAATCAGATTTCAATAATTGCTTTATACATTGTTTTTTTTTTTTGCGTAAAAAAATAGGAGAACTTTCCAAACCCTTAGAGAAACACGTAATACATAATACTTGTTTCTCTGCTGTGACAAAAAGCTAAGTTAAAAACTGTGACATTTATTTTGTCTTTATAAATGTGACTAAATTATCATGACATCAGAGCAACAAAAAGGCATTCAGTACTGTAAAGCAAAACAAATCACTTAAAACATTCAAACTATTGGCACTCTATTTCTACGGAATGAACAAAACAATGTTTTGTTGGTATGTCTAAAGTCGGAGATACCACCAAAAATAAACTTTAGGAATTAATATGCTATTAAGTTTTGATAAATGTTTGCTTCCTAGATGATTTATTTATTTACATTTATTTTGGGTTTGTACTAGAACAACATGCTTTGATGGTTAAAAAACACTTTATTTTCCTCATACAATTTCTGCTGGAACATCTGTATTCACCCTGTCTGAGATGCTCAGTGTAAGCGCCTGCGTCGTTAAAATTCAATAACAAAAGTGTCAAAGTCTTCATAACCAGACATGTTCCAACAGGAATATGATCTGAAATTGGGGTGAAATTAACAACATTGGCAACCAAGATTATGTTTCCCTGACGACAACACGTAGCTACATTTAGCAGTGTACTTGCAGCCATGGGGAAGACTGTAACAGAGTATAGCTGCACATTCTACCATGAAAAATCCACAACAAAAGTTTTTAAATCAAAAATTTTACAACTGGAAATGTTCCAGCAGAAATATGATGCCATATCAGGGAGAAATGAACAACTTTGGTGACCAAAATCACATGTTTTCCTGACATTAGCATACAACTACATGTAGCAGTGTACTTGGAGCCATGGGAAAGACTATAACAGAGCACCATGGCCCTTTCTACCATGAAAAATCACCAATAACAACTTCTAAACCAAATTCTTCGCAACCAGACATGTTTCAGCAAGAATACAATCTGAAATTGGGAGAAATAAACAATATCCGCAACCAAGATTGCATGTTTCCCTGACATTTAGCAGTATACTTACAGCAATGGGACTGACTGTAGTGGATGACATTTTCTACCATGAAAAATCACCAACAAAAGCTTTTAAACCAAATTTTTCACAACTGGAAATGTTCCAGGAGAAATCTGATCTGAAATCAGAAATTATCAACATTTGCAACCGAGATTACATGTTTCCCTGATGTTAGCATATAGCTACATGTGGCAGTGTAGGCTAAGTGATGTGAGCACTTGCAGTAACATGCCTGGAGCAGATGACCATACAAAGAAATCTGTCACAGCTTTTCTAAAACGTAGGGGGTAAAAAAACAGAAACAGAGCATGACAGACATGTCTGAAGAATGGTTTTTGCTCACAGGGATTACTTTTACATACATTTACCTCATTATTTTAAACTTTGGCTACGTTTAATATGAACATCCGACACTGCAACATTATAAATATATATGACTGAAAATAAGGAGAAGCGTAATAGGTCCCCTTTAAGTTGCTGTGGCATTTTGGTGTGTGAATGTGAACCATGACACAGATGACAGCTGCATACTTTGGCAGGTTTGTGAGCTTATAAACAGCAACAAAAGGGATCAGTGTGTTATATTGGCTTTCCAAATACCATTTTGTGTCCATTGTAGCTCAAAGCACAAAAAACCTGATCAATAATGAAAAAAAAAGACTAAGATCAGAGTGTTTAAGACAACAAAGCTAGAGAAATCTTGGCTAACAGAGCCAAAAATATATATTTTGTGACACAACCTATGCAATAAACACCTATAAATAAAGACAGAAGTAAATGTGCATTTAAAAATATATTCATGTACACACACAAAGTCACACACATACTGTACATGCAAACTCATTCCCCATACATGTAAGACATTCACTTGATATAAAAGCAGCTGTCCTACAAAGGTCAATTTCGTAATAATGAAAGATAAATTTCACTCTAATAATATTTCATTTTTAAGAAATGTACAGTATCTAGGCATTCAGAAGGGGTCAACACCCAACATTGGCTTCCCTGCATTTAATCTGGCACCATCAAATTATAGGCTTTTATCCAATTCTTTAAAAACAACCCTGGATACTGAAACACGAACCTTCTGAAAACATGACCCAGGACACAAACACTCTTTTGTTTTCTCTTAGCTCATCAGGATATAAAAACCGAAGCAACTGTGACATGGAGTCTCAAGCATGAACTGAAACAACATCTTTGTAAACTCGTGCTAAACTTATGTAGTAGTAAGTACTTCAAATATGAAATCATTTCCTAGACTCTACCTTATTAAAATTTCAATATATTAACATGAGCTGTAGATCCATGTCAGATCAAATTGTAAACAATTCATTAAGTTACATTAGTAACATAATCACACAAGAAAGAAACAGCATGGCTTCCTGAAGATATTCAAGTGAGTCATTATTACTTCAGTTTTACTGTCTTTCTTCTACTGTGTCCTAACAGCAAGTGAGTGTCAGTCTATCACACCGCATCACATTGCATCAGATGCTCTCTGTCCTCACTGGATCTCTGTTATGTTGTGTAAACAAATTACACTCCTATCATCTGTGTGCTCAGAGACATCAGACTGGAGATGTAACTACTGAAAAGATGGGTGAGTATTTACTTTATTGTTGTTGCTACCATACTATATCATACCACCATTTCCACTTTGTAAAACAAGCTAGCTAGCTAGCAAGCCCTGCTGAGAATCCCACACAACAAAGCTAAACAGAAATGGTTAGCTACCTGCCAATCTCCCTCTAGTCAGATGCCAAACTAAGAAGGTTGGCATCTGAGAAAGTATCGTACAGATAACTCCTCATTTTACCCCTGTGAATCAACCGTTCCTCGTCCATCATGCCACTTCAAATGTGAGCAGTAGGAATAAAATAGAAATGGCATGCTGCATAACGCTGCGTCACTCACAGACAGTTAGGACATTCCAATAAAAAACAATGCAATCAAACTGATTTAGTCACTGACGCTCACTTGGGTTGCATTTAGTTAGGACACATTGTCAGGCAGGGATTTTTGCCGATAGAAAGGGAGAGAAGAAAAAATCAAACGCAAACTTCAGGGCTCTCATTGTGGTGCGTCTCCAGTCTCTCTCTATCTTCACCTGTCTGCCCCCGGTCAGCAGGGACGAAACACAATCCAGACAGTGGATCGCCTTTAACTCAAAGGCTGGAGCTTTGGATCCTAGACGGCCCTCCAGCTTGGTGCTAAACTCCACCATATCTCCAGGATTTAGGTTTAGCAAAACTTGCCTGAACTCATGGCTGGCCATTAGGATTATATCCCTGGCTGGGTCCTCTGTCTCCATACTACCATCCCGGAGCATCCCCACTGTCACCTCAAAGCGGTGACTGTCAAAGCGCTTGACATGGCAGGTATGTTTTGCCAGAGCCTTTATCTGACACATCTCCTCCTCTTCTTGCATTCGGAGCAATAAGGGTAGTGAAATGGTAGCTGACTCAGAACCGGCTGCCAAATTGGCAGCTGTCAGGTTTGCAACTGTAGCATTCTTTGGCTCACATTTGGGATACTTCTCTCCATACAGGCAGCGCAGCCAGTCTCCCATGAACACTGGCAACATGCTGATAACCGACTGTGCCCCGTTGTCTGTCTCGACCACGCGGACGTGTTTGAAACGTCCAACCCATGTGACTCTGTGTCCATTAAGATGACTACAAAAGAGCTGTGTCTGGGCCATGCCTTTGGTTTCCCAAGCAGGGGGCCCGCATGCCTGGCTGTACTGTCTCCAAGTCAAGGTGGAATTGTACACCTTCTGTCCCTCTGCATGGTACACATAGATAGAGAAGAATAGGATCACCATGGAGATACAGAGTAAGATGAGTTTGACCGGGCCACGGTGAGTAAGTGAGCTGAAGACATCCAGAATAGACGTGCTGAAGCGCGTCCACAGCCGCAGGGTGACAGGGATCGCGCAAACTACCAGAGTCACAATCACCTTTGTCAATTCCAGCTCAAGGAACCACTTTAAGACCTGTATCAAGACCATGGCGGCGAGGCCAAAAGCCAGGACAGGCAGGGCAAATAGGAAGAGGAAGTAGGCTACACAGGTGCGCATTAGACCCACAACAGAGGAACTCTGAAGGAGCACCACAGAGAACTCACACCACATGAAGCACACAAGGTATGGAACCAGGAAGCAGTAAGTCCCTCTAAAACCACGCATCCTGGCCATGCTAAAGGTGGAAACAGACAGAAGAGGAAATAAACAATTTTGAGGGCATGAACTTATCAAGACTGTAGTGGACTTTAAAACCCATTGACACAATATAGTGTCTGAAATAGTGTGTATAACATATCCAATCGCCCATATGCTCACCTGAAGAACAGATAGAACAGATAGACATAGAGCAGGCAGGGGAGACTAAGCTTCAGCACCACTGACTCCCCCAGTGGCAGTGTGGCGAAGGTGCGCCCCAGGCAACGCAGTACTGTCATGTTCTCTGGCAGAAACTGGGTCAGGCCACACAGAGACGATGCAACCTGGATCAAAAAAGAAAGCATGTACATAAACTAGATTTTGTTGCTAAACTTTGAGGGAACAATTTCATTTCATAATCAAGTGTGTTAGATTAAGAAGGATTAAAATAAATATAGATCATGTATGTGTAAAATTCCTGTCAAACATTTCTACTGCTTCATGCTTTGTAAGATTGTAGTTATGATGGTAACAATATTAAAGGAATACTTCACCCCCCAGAATGACCATGTCTATATGAATTACTAACCTCATGTTACATTGAATTTGGAATATGGATGCACAGTATTGGATTTTCTGCCAATATGCCCATATGCAACCACTCATTTGACTGATACAGATATCAATACATCCACTTTTTTCCCTACCTAATTTTAGTGATCATCAAGTCTCTTCTGTAGTGGAATTAACATGATATTATTCCCTCATACTCTTACTGTGATGGCCCAACAGCAGATGGAGACATGAAATACAATGTTTTTCAATGTACATAATATTCATTCATTGTGCAAAATAAGAAAGAGCATGTTGGCCGATTCTGATAGTTCATTTTAAAGCTGGCCCTTATCAATGATGTGCTGATATCATTGTGTATCCCTAATTTGGGGAGATTTTTCTTGCATCACTTGATGGTGAGCGAAGAATCCAAAGACAGAAAAAAATCTTGAAGAATTTTCAAGAAGAATTGAAGTCGAACAGCGATGCTGGACCTTAATAGGTTACTAGTTACTAGTAACACGTAAGAAAAATAATATTACCTTTCCCAATAACAAGTAGTGTAATGAATACTAATAAAATTTCAGTGATAATATTACAGTTACCCCCCAAAACAAATAATTTGTGACAACCTTACTTTTGTTGTCATCCTCCTAATGATTTGAAATCCAACAATCCAATCACATCCCCAGTTTTATTTTCATAATCATCTCCACATGCACACCACAAAGCAGCCAACTAGTCTGGAGAATGGAATTGCCTATGTTCAGCTGCTTGGTAATGTTTCCATTACTTTCATTTTGGGGGGAGGAAAGATGATGAGGACATTGTTGTTCCAGGTGGTGGTGATAAGACTATTAAGACTGTTTCCACTGCAAAAAACACCACAATCTCAAACCTCCTGCAACACCTACTATAACTGACAGCACAATAATATAAAAATCCACCCCACCAAAGGTGAACCCTCTGTAAACGCAGAAGATGGCTGTAGCCCTGCACTGGCAAAATGACCAAAACTTAATTTTAATCGTGGACAGCTGCAGGCTACAAGCAACAAGGAACCAATGAAGCTTGTGGCTGGATATGTGGTGAATGAAATGTTGCCTATCTCCATGACTGACTCTTGCCTTCATCTTTCAAGCCGATCCTTGGGGAAATATCAGCTGCAGGCAACAGAGGGTAAAGAATCATTTGCAAGTTAGCCTTGGCTGCACTTACTGGCTCATATGCTAATCTCTGTTTTGAGGAGAAAGGACACAATTACCATCTTGTGGTGTGTAACTGAAAAGTAATAAAAGAGGAGTGCTGGCAGGGAGAAAATAGTAAAGTTATTTACTTTTGAAAAGAGTAACGAGTAATGAGTAGTACATTGTTTGAGTAACGAGCCCAACACTGAAACCGCACAGGCGCGCTGTACTCCTTGTTCGTGCCTGGGACTGTTTATGCTAAAGGATTTTGAATAGTAAGGTTTTAGCCAAACTGCATGTGTCTGAGCACACAACTTGAAAAATGAGACTTGTATTATACTGTACAAGTTAAGTATTCCCTTAAATATATTGCGTGATTTGCAGTTATTAGGCTACAGCATGCAAAACTGCAATTCAAAAATTTTTAGTCACGTTATGCCAGTGTCGTGCTCCCCCTGACCTCTATGGCCATTGCTCGGTGTGCGTATGTGGCAGCAGTGGGGCTGAGGCTCTTGTAGCTGACAGCAGTGAAGAGGATGGCCACAGTGGAGAGCTCAGAACAGGGGATCCAACCCTTGTCAGCTACAGGGAAGGAGAAAATAACAAAGAAAACAGAAAGAATAAAATAGAGGTATGGTTCTAGGTTGTTCCAGCCAAAGTTGGTCTCTGCCTGCTCCACATCCAGGCCTGGCTCGAAGCGTGTCAGCAGAGATGTCAGGGCGCTGAAGTTCTCCCAAGCCTGCCATAAAAAAGGGAAAGAAAGATGTTAGATCAAAGAGTGAAGATGACGCTGACAGATAAGATTGCAAGCATCCATAACTCTTCACTGCATTTCTGCCTGTTTTGAAACATCAGCCAATAGCCAACTATACTCACCTTGCTGCTCTGTAAAATACGCAGTGTGCAGATGATCATGGAGATGAAAGAGAGGTAGAAGACGAGCAAGGGGATGACAAAAGCAAACAAGTCAACAGTCAGGTTGCTGATAATGAAGAAGAAAATAAGTGCATTAACGTGTTGCGTGGGGATGACTGTGCTCAGCCACTGGACTCCAGCCCGCGACGCCCAGTCGACCAGGTGCTCCTTCATCTCAATAATGGCATGCAGCGGGTACTGCAGTATCTGAAGTGAAGAGAGACATATATAGAGAGAGCCCATAATAATTAACATTAAAAAAACAAAAAAGAATTAAGAATTGAATAATTTAACAACAGTAAAAATATCCACAGCAAAAGATCTTCAACAGAAATTTAAAGTCCCCCTCCAAATAAAAATCTGTTTATGATTATTTCTATTGGTGCAAAGTTTGTCACCAGAGGTTTTCACATTCCTTTTCTGTGCACTTCCCTAAAATCTGTGATTCAAATATACATTGGGCAAGCTAGATTGGGTATGTCACTAATTGAAAAGCCAATTTTTAACAGAAAACACAATGAGTGCTGCAGGGATGATATTTGTTTGTAGGCCGATGTGGAAGTTAGCGTCGCCCTGGTTCCCTCATCAAAATGCTAATGGGATTTTTCCATTGGGTTTTGGATTACTGGAGAAAATAAGCTCTGTGGCAAACAAAAGTTCATAATACTTACATGTTTTGTTCAACAAGATGAACACCACTTTTACATTTTTTTAAATGTAAATGCAACCAGCAGACGTAAAAAGCTAACATTAGGCTTTAGACGAAAATGCATTTTTTAAGACATTTAAAAGCTTAAAAAATCCTGAGTGCTGTATTTACTGACATATTTTATGTTGCAGAACAAAATGTGGCTTAAGCAGACCTCAGGTAACTAACCGAAAACCCATTCAAAAAACCCATTTAACCCTAATTTTTGGGTTTTAGGACTCATTCCTGCATCACCTCCAGTGCAGGGTGGATTGGAGGTGGGTCCCCTTCAACAAGGGGGACTGCAACCCCTGGGTCTTTTGCTTTTTTCCAAAAATTAAAATATTACATATTGACAGGAATCCAACATATTATTAGCACAGATTCATTAAACCAATTTCATTTACAGTACACAACATTATGATAGGCTAACTGATATCCATGAATTCCTTTGCAATCATGTTAACTAGCACTAAATCACTGAGCAGCCCGTCGGTTACAGCGAGATGAAGTGCTTAGCTAACGGTTATGTGATATTGAAACATACTGGCCAATAAGCTGTATCAGTTTTTCAAGATTATGGACATTACTCTGAAATACTGTCCACCTCAGGAACAAACATGATGTATCAACATATGAATCTGCCAGTGATTATTATTTTGAAAGCTTAGCATTGTATGCATCATTAAGGTGTGTGTTCATACATGGTACTTTATATATAAAGAAGAAAGCAGGAAAAGCTCGCCCACTGATCAGAAAAATGGATTGTCCACTCCAGAGGTTCATGGATGTTAAGGTAGCATGTTTAATGGTTTTCTTTTTATGTGACTCCTTTCACTTTATATATAAAGTCAGTTTTACACAATAGGGGGTCCCTGCACTGTCTCTTTCAGCTAAGGGGTCCTTGGCCTGAAAAATGTTGAAGACCCGTGGTGCAGAGAGCACAGTTAGCATTAGCATAGTGAAAGTTTTGACAGCATGGTAGAGTGTGCAAGTTTTGGAGGCAAACCAACCAAGATAAACAGACTATAACATTGTAGCAAATATAACTGTATGTTTCACGACTACTAATGCTGTGTCAGCCGCTATTGTTTAGCCTACAAGCTAACAAGCCAACAAACACCATTAAAATATAAAAGATCCCAACTATACTACTTAGTATTGTGATTTGCTGGTTGCCAATTTTGGTGCACAACCAACTCGTGGTCTGACTGAGGCTCAAATGTGTATGGCTGAATCTCTCCCATGCTTCCTCTAATGCTAACATTAGCTATCTCAATGCACACTGCTCTGTCGCTGATCAGCCTACTGCTAGTAGTACAAAGCCAAACCGGTCTCCACACTTGGTTTCAGCACACAAGCAGCAGTAGTGGGCGTGACATGAGGCCAGTTCCAGTATTTCTCAATGAGGGAGAAAGAGATTTGCTTCCGACCCCTTTTCAGAGTTTTTTTTGGTTTTACTTTTTATGTGCAAAAAAAAAGCATGGTAAACAAAATAATCATAACCATAGCAGAGGATTTTACATACTTTACAACGTGTCTGGAGGAGGACTTTAATGTAGGATAATTCAAGGTATGAATTCTTATATTACATATGATTACCATTAAGCGTGATTTCATGTCCATGGCTTTTTTCATGGCCCCATTCTCCCTTGTGTCTCCCAGCATCATCCCACTTCTGGCAAAACTCCATGAACGTCTATAGACCTTCTTGTATCCTGGTGGTACCAGCTCAGCCTTGTGCTTTGAAACACAATATTCTGAATAGTTACAATTAAAAATACAATGACATCTATGTCCTTATGATCACAGATTATTCCCATTTTTGCTGATTTGGCTCTTTTACCTCCCGAATGCGGTTGTTAGGTGTAAGGCTTTCAGTCTTGGCTGTGACCTGGCTGCCACTCTGGGGCGAAATACCTTGTGCATACTTTTTAGTCATCTCAACAAAGTCATCCAAGTCCACCAACTGTGTGGCTGAGAGGACACAAACAAAGCAGTTATAGAAAAAGACTCATTATATTCACTGTTTCTCTCTCTCTCTGTCTATCTCTCTGTGTCTGCATACTTACCCTCATTCTTAACCATGCTCTCCAGTACTTTCTGGGTCTGGCCTGAGGTTGGGGCAGGAATCCTGTTTGCAGTGCCACCTACTGGTGAGAAATGACCACAGCATCAGTGAGTGATAAACATTTCCCTGGAGGCCAGCATGCAATATGATATTCTTCACCCTGACAGCTGCAAATACTGAAATCACAAAGGGGAATATATGATATATTTAACAGTAATGGCAGCTCTCATTACAACAACATGCCAAGACATTCTGGGCAGTCTGTAATACATAAGGCTGAGTTGTTGTCACAATTCAAAAAAATACTTGCTGGTGTCTTTCTCCACATGTCTGTGATTGTGCACAAGCATCCTACCTGGCACTGCATTGACCTGGCTGACATTTTCTAGCATCTCAGCCACAGCCACCTTCGTCTTCCTGTCTGGGTTGAGTTTCCAGTACATCATCATGGCTGCTTTACGCACTGCCAGCTCAAATTTACTTTCTGTTGACAACCTGCGCACATCGGCCTCATTCTCTGGGGTGATTCCTAGGAAAGGAGGACAGAGAAGGAACAGTTAATGAACCATAAACCTGAATACACAAACAAGCATGTGCTTTGTTGAATTGTGGGACAATAACCTTTTTTCTGGATCCAACAGCGCTGCAATGCTCTCGCTGCACCTTTTCTTCCCTGTTTAGCTGCTTTAATCAGCCAGTCAACAGCAACACCATTATTTAGCTCTGCGTCCTTCTCTTCAGCAAGAAGCAAGTAATGCTGACCCAGCTGTAATACAGAATAGAGGGGATAAATTCAGCGTGTGTGAGCTTGGCCTAACACAGTGGCGCTCAAACTTTTTTCAGCAATGTACCCCCTTTGAAGTATGTTTTCATCTGAGAACCCCATGACCATCACAAAAGATCTTTGGTATAAATACACAGTGAACAAGCGTAGACATGAATGTGATTGAATTTGTTGCAGCAGCTGACAGTTTACAGCACATAAAGCAAGGGTAATAACATGTCTGGAAACGGCAAAAAAACCCAGTAGTATTTGAAAATACACCCCCACCCCCCAGCACAGGGTGTCACGGCGGGCTGGTAGCCAGCAACAGCTCACGGTCTAACCAGTGTAATGGCAGCAAAAGAAAGTTTGCTGATCCGATGAGGAGCTGTCTGGTCCTCCAGAGCTTGCTGGATTTGAGTTGCTGCAGCGTTGACTGGGGGTCCATCTTCAGAGCTGTTGCCTGCTCTCCTCCTGGCAAGGTGGTCTGTAGCGGTCAGGGATTGAAACGGAGGATACACTGTGTCGAGGCTTTAGCTAATGTTAACTACATACACATGAACTTGAAGCTGCAGCTATAAGCCTTTAGCTCCTGTTAGCAGAAGGCTAAACTGCTAGCACCATTTTCTGTCCATGTCTGAAATGCTTTGCTTTTCTTTTTTTGGGTTTCCCTGCAGTGTGCGCAGTTGTTGCCGATGCTGACACAGTAACTTTCTCTTCAGGATTCTCAGCTATTAAATCAGGCTTTCACCGAAGAAACATGCACGCACATCTGCTTTTGTAGAACATCCAACAGGAACCCTCTCTCTCTGAAATGATCTACGATTGGCCAAAGTCTTCTGTCACTGGCTAGATTGTCTAAATTCTGAAAAAATGTCAAGAGAAGGTGCAGAAGTCAGGTTTATCTCAGTCCATTTGAATTACAATATGCTTAAAGTTAATTATGGGATTTTTGCCTCATGAAGCCAAAATTAAACTGCTTACCCCAGCTTTAACAACTGGATTGAAAATAGCAATACTACTGTACATATATAATGAGGTTCATCAAAATTACATTTACAATTTTTATTGAACTTATTATAGTATAGAAAATATGCACGACTGATATTTTGAAAATTTCCATAAAAAAAAATCTACCCCTAGGGGTGCCCGTACCCCTATTTGAGAAGCTCTGGTCTAGCTAAGTACAATCGGACAATGTCCCCCATTACTTTGGATAATCCGCAAGGTACATTGGTTTAATAGGGATTATTTCTATGTTAGAAAGTGGCTCTAATCAGTTAACAGTGAAGTTCATGGAACCACATGTGCGACAGATGACTACAGAACCCATAATTCCCTGTTCCCGAGGCCATCAGGGTCTCTGTCATGGCTAACTACCAGGGGTGGCAGAGGCCCAGGGGTATATCAAGTGACTTGTTTTCTAATCTTAACTGTCATTTCATAACTTCCTTCTCTCACGGTTATCATTTAATAAGTCTGTTTATAGGGGGATGAGATATCGCAGGAATATATTCCTGCCTCTCAATAAGTATAATCTCATAAACTTGCTTAATTAGCATGCTTTTTAAATTGGAAGTCTTGTCCAACACTCATACTTCCCTATGTATGGCTGTAGGTATATACCATGTCTATTATGATATATGAACATTATTGGAGTGTCTAATCCACTTTCACTGCATGTATATCCAACTACTGTCCCAATTTGGTCACTCGTTTTTGACATGTTCACTTACACACCCTGTGGTTATTTAGGTGCTTGGTATTTGCAAAAACGTGACGTATAGCATGGGAAAGTTAAAGCCATATAACAAGCCACTTAGGAATTTACCCTTTCAGAGCTGACGGGTCTTATATGCAACGTCTCGGCTCATCTTCCACCTACACCCCCCCCCCCCCCCCCCCCCCCCCCCCCCCCCCCCCCCCCCCCCNCCCCCCCCCCCCCCCCCCCCTTTTTCTTCTACCAGCACGTTTTACATTTGTATTTGTTGTTAGAGAACGAGGCGTAAAGAGAGTGTGAATATTTCATTATCATTTGTGCGAATTCAGTGCAGTGCTGCAATGCACTGTAATAGTGTTGAGAATGATTTGTGCGTGTGACAGTATCTTGGTGTATCATATTGAAAGCCTAGGATCATCTTCCAAGGGGCCAAAAATAGACACATGCTCACAACCAGACTGAGTCAATCAGCAGGACTGAAAACAATGCCAAGTGCCAGTCTGTGTGCATGTGCTTTAACTCACCCGGGTCTGAGCTCTGGCATCACCAGCTTTGGCCTTCTCCTCCAGCTGCTCCATGGACAAATCTTCTTCTGGTTCTTCATCTGGAGGAGCGAGAGGAGATTAATGTTCACATATCCATCTCGATCAGTCTCTGAATCAATGGATTACACAACACGCTCGCCTCCAAACTTGTACAGCGGTATAACTTTACTAAAGGAGCAGTGTGACTCAGTGCTGATTTTTACACATACTGTGTTCAAAGCCAGCGATCAACAAATCCCTCCTGACATATATATAACGTGAGAGTAACAAGAAGTCAGAGGTGGAGTAGATGTGAGAGAGTCTGTACATCTGTCTGTCAATGCAGATCATGTGACGACACCCCAGAGCTCCATCAACACCAAGCCCAGCTACTATGTCACACTATTAGTTGTCACTTGCATTGAGTTTCATAACGGTTACTGTCTCCCTAGTGTCCTTTAAGCAAAGGGGTTCAGGGGTTCGTTGCCTGTAGGGAAAATGTCAAATGTCATATTCTCCTATGCACAGCAAGATGTCTTACTGGTACACGAGTTTGTTGGTTTCACTTCCAACAGCTCTGCAATATGACAGTGTAATCTCACAATGTTGAAGTGACTAACTAATAATAATTGTTTCAATGTGGGTATTTTAGTTATTGCTGACAAAAGGCTAACAACAGAGCTTAAGCATGTTCAGATTCACCAAGACAAAGAGGCCAGTCGCCAGTAGGAAATGTTGGCACTGTATGTTTATGCAAACCATAAATATGTTAAATTTTAATGTATCATATGTATCATATCATCATTTCTAAAGTGACTCAACATATGAACTGACTGCTACTCAGTAACCGTTGACACAACCGTTGAGTGGTCGGACAACTAGAAAGGCACTATACAAGTGCGGCCCATTTACCATTTTTACCGAGACGTCACTGTGTTTCAAGTGGGGATTAGCCCCCAGAACTGGGTATTTTAAGCCAACACATGGTCTTATCCCATCTGTAACCAAGTTACTGGTTATGGCATTGTTAAAATGTAAAGGTTCAATGTATCCCTAATAACATGCAAAGTGTAATGTATCCATAGTTTGCATAAAAGTACAATGCCAACATTTTTTCTGGCAGTTGAGTTGAGTGGCTCTGTGAGACTTAGGCACAGCAGTGCTTTGAGCTCAATGCTAACATCAGCATGCTAACATACTCACAAAGACATTGCAAACATGCTGCTAAGCAGGTACAGTAGACTATGATGTCTACCATACTCCCCATCTTAGTTTAGCCTGTTAGCATGCTAACATTTGCTAACATAAGCACTCAACACAAAGTACAACTGAGACTGACGGAATGTTTTGCAGGTATTTAGTTATAAACCAAAGTACAAATAAAATTTGGAGCTTATGATGACACCACATTAAAAGTTTGGTCAGAGAGAGGACCACCAAAGTTTTAAAAATCAATCCTAAGAGGAGCATGAATGTGTGCACCAATTTCAATGGACTAACAATTAGCCAATCAGCGTCACAGGTGGGACCAATGCCATTGTCAAGCGTTTGTCGAGCAGTGCACCGAAACCACTGAAGAGTAATAAAAGAGTGGTGAGTGCTATAGACATGACACTGCTATCGAGGCAAATTTGCTCCACTCCGCTCTTAAAACCCCAGCTAAACAAGTATGTTGGCATGGTTACACATCAGTAAGGACGTTAGATTCAGAAGGTTATGTTGGTCTATAGTGGTTGGTTAGGGAATTGAAACCCTCTTCCCAAAGGAAATCGATTAGAGTGGATGCAATGTCAGACTGAAGATGAAAACAGAGTGTAATAAGTTGACCCTTCTGTCTGATATCAGGCAATTGTAAACCTTGTGGTGGCACTACATGAAAACTGAGGGATCACCAAAGTTATTAGGATTTATCCTCTGGCGACCATGAACATCAGTAGAAAATTTTGATGGTAATCCATCTAGTAGTTGTTGACATATTTCAGTTTGGACCAAAGTAGTGACTGACCAACCATTTCCATCCCAAAGGGCCTTGCTGCTAGCATGACTAAAGCTTGCTGCAAGAATATTTGTCCGCATGTTCACTACTCTGAACCTGCCAGTAATATGGTAATCAGGAGAAGGTAATGTATATGCAAAGGCCTTGCTCTTTTTCTCTGTGGAATTTCTTTCAACACAAATCAGTCACTGAGCAAAGCCGGTGGTCTAACAAGCAGGGATTCAGATGTTGAATTTAACTGAACCATTGGATGACGAAAAAAATATTTAACTTTATGTATTGCATTAATTTCTGTTCTTGTATGACACAGAGATGCAGCCCATGGTGCTTCATAAAACAAGATTACAATAAGTAATACTGCATTCTGGCCAAGAGGGATGTTTATCCAAGGGTTGGGTTACCCTGTTACACACGGAAACACACTCCAAAACATAGCTCAAGGCTTAGCACCACAACACTGCAATTGGGTGCAACTTCTACTCTCAGGCCCATTAAAACTCTCAATATGTCATTTAATTCCAAACTCAGAACAAATATTCTTACCATCCTCTTCTTCATTGGCGTCCTCCTGTGCTTTCCTGAGTCTCTCCTGTATAATAACCCTTTTGGCCATGGATGCAAAGGTACGTTTCGCGGGGGCGGATATAGTAATTGCAGGAGCTACAGTGGAAGCAGTAATAGAGGGAGGAGGAGTAGGGGAATCTGTTGGAGTGTTACAGGTCAAGCTCGGTGATGTAAAGGAGGCAGATGTGAGCTTAGAAAAGGATGACATTTTAGGGGTTTCAGGGGTAGAGAGGTTAGAAGACATAACAAGTGGTGTTTTGCTGGGAGGAGGCGAGGACGGTTTAGTGGGAATAGGTTTAGATGCGGGTTTAGAGGGCACAGCAGGAGTTAAGGGCTTTGACCCCTTCACAGAATCCATCGGTTTAGACGTGACTTGACCGGATGTTTGAGAGGAATAAGATAATTTTCTAGGTTGTGCAGCGGTCTCTGTTGAGGATGGAGGTTTGGCAGGGTGAGAGGGAGCAGCAGAGAGGTCACTGGAGATCACTGAAGGAGGAGTCTGTATGGGGGAGGGAGGAGAAGGTCCATCCATGGCAGGGCATGACCCTGGGGTGTTGACACCAGTAGAAATTGATGCCGAATCCTCCATATTTTCTGGAATTAAAAAAAGGGTGTGAGTCATTTTTCATGTAGCTAATAACAACCATGCACTGCAGCAAAATAATTCAGGTCATTTCTAATAGTGAGTCATAAGTGAAAACACAGCTGGGGGGTTGAATTTGTGAACACTGTCAGAGAAATTGGAGGACCCTATCCTCTGGAAGTTTTTCACCTAAATATGATACCTTCACTGTGAAAGGAGAGGAGTTTTGACGAGGATACAAACCTCAGTCAAACCATGTTCTACTCAATTTCAGTCCACATTAGGAAGGGTGTTAGATATCTAATAAAATATATGTTGCAATAACATGCAATTAATCAAAATAAAGTGCCAAATAAAAATAGAATCACTCTCTTAAGGCTATTCAAACTTTGAAAGAAAATTATAGAAGAGTATTATTAAACTAGTTTTTACAAGGAGCACATGCGGACACTACGTGTGCGAGTAAAAGAGAACTTCATGCCAAGTTCTCCACATGAGACCTGCGCCATGGCAGCACTGAGTACAACAACAGATAGAAACCTTACCTTGCCGATTTCCTCAGGATAAAAACTCAACTTTCCTCCTGAATTTCAAAGTTGTGTCAGTAGTCCATGCTGAGCTCCGTGCGCTCCGCACAGCTCCGAGAAACCAGAGACGCACTGGCCGCGGTCAAACTCTCATGTGTCTGGTCTACAACAACACCGCAACTTTACGGTCTGCCCTCTTTAAATAGACTCGGCCCTGATAGGAGGAAATAAATGCCCATCAAACGGCTGACGTATCCGATTGGTTATTAGCGCGCTCTTGGTTCTTGAACTTTTGAAATTTGTGTTCCTCTAGGAACAATTTGTCTTTAATTATTATCTCAACTCATTCACTCTTTGTCTCTTCGTGTAGCTTTAAAAAGCTTTCAAATAGAGGCTTCAGTGATGCTGTATGTGCTGTTATTTCCACTGAGCGGCCGCTGTATTTAAGTAGATTATGGGGTTCCAGGTCAAAGGCCTGCTCTTAATCGAGTCTGACTCTCTCCCATATGGCACCCGTAGACAAGAGTGTGGGGACAGGCAGCGGTCTGATAGTAAGGTTACACTTTATCATAAAGGTACACCAAGGGGCTTTCATGATTAAGAAATGAGGACAAGCTTACATGTTTGCACCTGACTACTAAAACAGCCTGACAACACGTACTGTTCATAAAAGACAAGGGTCTGAAATGTCATCTTCCATTGGATTTCATTAAATTTTATCATCACACATCAACTTATCAAATGAAAATCAAAGTAACATGATTATTTCTTAAAAGTGAGCAATAGGAATTCGAGATACATTAATTCATGCATTTGATCATCATGAATCATGTTAGTTATGTATTGTTTAAGCAAATGACTTACACTTTTATCTAATGAGTTACCCAGTAATAACAATAATCATGTCATGTGTATATGGAGGACAGAAGCTGCCAAAATCAAAAATAAATCAAATTCAAAAAAGACTTGATAAATACCATTAAATGTATGTAAATATGCCATTAAGTGTACCAAAATAATATTTGAAATAATATTAAAAATAAATGTAAACATGTATTAATTGATAAAATGTAACATAATAAATAAATTAATTAGCTTCTCTATTTATTTACCTTTAAATTACCTCCCGTACTTATTAGGGGAAGGAATCACCAGAGGATTTTTAAAAAAAACATTTTTTAATTTATTTTTTAATTTTATATACTTTATTAATCCCCCTGAGGGGAAATTCAATTTTTTTCACTCTTTTGTCATTAACACACAGGTCCGAAAGAGGATCCATGATACTATACTATCATGATACAGTATTGTTGTGATTTTAAATATGTTGCGATATGCTGACTATTGGGACAATACATATTGCAATACATTGCAATTAATGACCTTTTTTTCAGCTGTAAATTATGTCCCCGAAGGAAAACTAAGTCAGCACCTGTTTTATCTAATAAGATAAAGTTTTCAGTCTGTTCATCTGACTTCAGCCAGTTTTTAGCAGCAAAATGTATCTAGTGGACTGAAAAAGCAATAAATTAAGCTACATTATTCTAGTAGGCTAAAGTTTAATTTGTATTTGTCATATTAATAATTTATAAATGATAATTAGCAAAAAATGATGTAATGATACAATATCGGCACACAAAAATATCGCAATACTATGCTGTATCGATCCCCCCGCCCCCCACTGCTACACCATGTACCTTTCTATTATAAATTTCCTTGTATTTATTTATTTTTATTAAATTTCAAATTTAGCTATATATGTTTTTACTTATGTTTTAATTCTTTAATTGATCAATTTTTAAAACGTATTTCTGTATTTATTTATTTCTGTAGCTTATGCAATTCACACACACACACACACACACACACACACATATGTATATATTGACAGGAAAAAAACATTTATCAATTAATTAATGCATGCCTACATTTTTTGTAAGATTTTTTTTTTTTTTTTTTTTTTTAGTTGACTTATTTATTTCTGTATTTATCTATCTATTTATGGTAGATTCTGGCCACTTCCATCTTCCATGATAGGCCTGTTTCCAGATATGTGGTATACATGTATTGTATGTATGTATGTATGTATGTATGTATGTGTAATGCTTTCCAATAGGCTGTGTGTGCTGTGTTGTGCTGCTGCTGCTGCTGTGCTTCATGGTTTGGTGCGTTGTTCCTCTGGGAGCTGTCCACCTGCGTGAGCACTGAAAAGACAGCTCCCAGCTTCTCTCTCCTTCACTCTCCCTCTCTTTCGCCTTTTCCCAGAATCCCCATGGGCCACAAGAAGGACAGTCTGTTGCTGTCTGGAACAAGACTGTCTGCTCACATCAACAAACATCCCATGAGTACATTCAGGTCACTGGTTTCGGCCCAGATGAGATACCTGCTGCAGCCTGAAGTCTCATACCTGCAGGTTGCACACATTCAAGGCTTTCTTGCAAGTTGCAATAGACCAGCACCCCCTGTATGTGGTCAGCTCTGAAAGCACATAGACCATTTAACAATCTGTTTTTCCCTCCCTCCAGATGTGGGTTAAAGGATGACACATGCTGGTTTAATCCTCTGATGGTGTGACCTGCTCACGCACAGCCCCCCACATTAAAGGATGGGTGGTAGGGAGACTTGCTTTCCTTTTATTTATCTGTATGTATGTCTGTGTATGTGCACGTGTGGTTATTAGGCGTTTGCATACTGAAACTAGTTCATTGACACTCCACCACCCTCTAAACTGGAGCACTGCATCATTTCACTTGCATGTGTGCGTGTATGCGTTCATAGGTAGCCCGGAGAGAGCCGCTTTTCACAGTTCACAGCATCAGAGCGCGCTCGAGGGGCGGGGCCGTCAGTGACCCGGTTAGACGTAAGACAACCGAGGCTTCTATCTCCATCGTTTCAGATTTTGGGGGGAGTCTCCGTCTGCTGTGGAAGCCACAATGTCTGACTGCAGAAGGCAGTGGAACCGGGAGGATGAGCTACCGGTGTACCTGGCGGGGCCGATCACCACCGGGCCGAACCAGCGGAAAAGCTACGGGATGTTCAGCTCCGTGGAGGGGGCGTTTGAAAGCAAGACCATAGACTTCGATAACTACGCAGTGGGAAGGAAAGGGAGCCGCACCCCGAGAAGCGGGAGCCGGGAGAGGGTCTTGGACGATGGGGTCACCATCGGCAAGGCGTCCAGCGAGGTCCGGGAGGGGTCACTGACCAACTCACCCGGGGACACAGACGATGTGTGCCCCGGTGTTGAGATTAGATTTTCCTCGGGGAAGGAAAGCCCAAATGGGGAGGTAGGACTCAGGATTTTGCCTCTTGGCTTTTTTTCCCTCTGGTTGTCTTGTATAGATAGATTTCCCTAAAATATGATTGATAAATTAAACAGAAACAAACACGCTTGTAGACTGGCAGAGAACTACTGGCCTAATTAGAGGAAGAACAAAGACTATTGGTTAATGACTGAAAGCATAAATTTGAATAATTAAGTCTTAATATGTGTTGTGTTAGCCCAGAGCTGACATCCCCTCAGGAGTTGTTCTTCTGATACAAGTCTGCATAAATGATGAAGTTTTGTGCTGCATTGCAGTTTGGCCATTTTGGTTTCCGACTACGTAGCTCGTAAAAAATCTCCAAAAAGATGCAAACGCACGCTGACACAGTGAAGCTCCTCTCAGTGTGTGGTGCTGAACCGGACAGCTCCAGACAGCGTCTCTCTCTGTATTGTTTTCCTGCTCTCACGTGAGCTGTTTATGTGCGTGTAGAGGGGGGTGTGATGTAGCCTACACCGTCTTTCTCGGTGCCGTGAACGCCACCGGGCAGGCGCTCGCTTTCCGCACGCGCACGCACAGGATCGTCAGGTCTTGTCACGGCGCGCGCTCCACGCATCCCGACGCAGCCGTAGCCTTCGGCGGCGGATTCATCGCTGTCCCTGTCTCTCTCTCTCACACACATACACGGAAACAATAACCAACACATATCGGGGGAGACAAAGGGGCGCAGAGCGCAGCGCAGGGCGCCGGAGTCATCGCAACCCGCTTCTGAGTTGACTGCCCGGGGGCAGAGCGACAGAGAGAGCATGTCTGGGACCGGTTACCAGGGGAAGAACAGCATCCCCCATCTGACGGTAAGAGACCCGGCCTGGTCAGCGGCGTTGGCTGGAGAGGCTCTCCGCTTGTATGCAAATCCCTGCTGCCAGTGCCGGCAGTGAAGGGATTAAATTCTTAGTGAGGCGGCAAAGGGCAGAAGGCCCTCCTACAGTTTCTCCTGTGTGAAACAGCAAACCCAAGATGGAGAGGTGACAATTCTCAGTGTCTGTGTGTCAAATCGAGCGCCTGTTACCACTCAGAGCTGGACAGTGTTGTGTAATCTCGCCGCCTGTCAGAGGGATTAACTCGGTTGACGTGACGGTGTCATCAGGACTCGCACAGGAAACAATGGCTTGCATACAACAACACAAAAGTGTGAGGCTGGATTTGTGCAAAGATTCATCCCTTTTCAGCTATATTAAAGCATGCACTCTGCAGAAAGCCTCTGTCATTTTTTAGAGTAATATCAAATCCCAAATGAATCCAAAGGCCACTCACAATTTATATAACTAAGCATTACATGTCATATTGTAACAGCAAAGAACACATACTGTTTTCACATTCCTCCTTTTGTTATCATCCTTGTTGGTTAAAGATGCTGAGAATTAAACAGGGCTGTCAGCTGCCTTCATCTCAAACCATGGGTGATCATTGGTTACCATGGAGATATAACATCTTCCTAAAGCTGTTGCTAGGCACTCTGCATGGTGGTAGAGGGTGTGGACACATAGTAGTCTGAGGAAAAGATGTGCTTTTTTAACACTGCTTTTAGATATCTATCTGATTGTACTTATAATATCATCCTACCTGCAATGAATGCAAATGAAAGAGGAAGCATACAGTACTAATATTAGCTTTTGTGAGACCCCACCCATGCACAGCGTGTCTCTCCGCTCTCATCCACTGCACCGTCATAATATTACTCTAAGGTCAAGGATTACATAACGGATTGCGCAACAGATCAAAATGGCAGGATTGAATTCAGCCCCCCTTGTACCTCTCCCTCCCCCCTCTCTCTTTCTCTGTACTCCTCCCCTGCAGAGTGAAAGGCTGTTGATCAAAGGAGGGCG